ACACATACAAGCTCTATTTTTAAAAATTATAGTACTTTTTGCCAATAAACATGATTTTAGCTCTGTTCTAAGCTAAGCGTGGTATATATGCTTATCTTTCAAGCTCCTATTGCAAATCACAGGAGACACAACATTCTGCAAGAATACCTTGGCAATCCATTTATAAAATTCACTCAAAGTCCTTGAGGACAACAAAAAGCTATTCTATCATATTGGATAAAATCAGCCTATTCTGATCCATGTTCCCACCAACAAACCTGAATTGTTTCTCATTCGCTCATATTTTCTTAGCTTTTATAATAACTTACAGACCATCAAAATGTTAGCTCCTTTAAAAAAGAAGTATCCTGGGGCCCAGCACGGTAGCCTAGTGGCTACATTCCTCACCTTGCAAGCACCAGGATCCCATATGGGTGCTGGTTCTTATCACTACTTCCCATCCAGCTCCCTGCTTGTAGCCTGGGAAAGCAGTCAAGAACGGCCCAAAACCTTGGGATCCTGCATCCGCATGGGAGACCCAGAAGTTCCTGGCTCTTTCTTGGCTTTGGATCAGTTCAGCTCTGACACGCTTAGGGAGTCAATCATCAGACAGAAGATCTTTCTGTCTCTTCTCCTCTCATATATCCGACTTTCCAATAAAATACATCTTAAAAAAAAAAAAAACACATTTACCAACTCTCCCAACTCAAACCCACCCCCTCAGCTTTACCCCCAGGAAGGATTCCTTCTTGAGTCAGCATCAAATGAATACAGGGCCCTCTTGTAAGTCACACAGAAAGGGCAGAAATGGTTAAAGTATCATTCTGTCATCTCAAACATGTCACTAACATTCCTGAAGGCTCCCCTCCCTCTTTGCAAACTAAATAATCCCTGTGTTTACCATCTCTAGAAAAAACATGACTTACAGGTCCGACACAATAGCCCTGGTGGCTAAATTCTCACCTTGCTTGTGCCGGGATGCCTTATGGACGTGGGTTCATGTCCTTACTGCTCCACTTCCCTTGCAGTTCCTTGCCTGTGGCCTGGGAAAGCAGTCCAGGATGGCCGAAAGCCTTGGGACCCTGCACCCATATGGGAGACCTGGCAGAAGTTCCTGGCTCCTGGCTTTGGATGGCCTCAGCTCCAGCTGTTGTGGCTACTGGGGAAGTGAGCCAGCAGGTGGAAGATATTTGTATCTCCTTCTCTCTTTTTTAAATCTTTTTTAAAAACAATTACTTACACATCACTACCTGTGATTTTTCAGTTTTCTGCAAATATTTAGCCCAAAGTTAATGTCTTCTAATGGAGTGGGTATTGTGGTGCACCAAGTTAAACTGTCATTGGGATGCCAACAGTCCATACAGGAGCACCTGGCTTCAATCTTGGCTACTCTGGACTTCCAATCTGCCTTTCTGCCAATATACCTGGGAGGCAGAAAATGAAGATCCTCAATATGTGGGTTCCTGCCACCCTCCCAGTTGACCTGGATCAAGTGCACCTCCTGGCTCAAGCATGGCCAGCCCTGACTGTTGCAGGCACTTGGGGAGTCAACTGACCTAAGGAAGATCTCCCTCATGCTTGCTCTCTCTCCTCTCTGCCCACCTCTACCATTCTATCTTTCAAATGAATAAGTAAATCCAGAATGAGAGTGAGCAGGTGAGAGCACCATATTCTTTGTCTTTCCTATTACTTCACCTTTAACTGCTCTCATTTTGGGCATGCATCTACAACTGGACATTTATACTCTGAAAAAAAAAAAGCATGAAACTGCAACATAATAATAATGTAATACAGATATTCAAAACTAAAGCTGTTTAAAGTGACTGGTTCTCTCTAATCCCACAGTGCAATTCATATCTTACAATTATGGTCCCCCCCCCCCAAATCAAACATCATTCTTTGTTCTCAGAATGTGTCCAACGCAGAACTGAAGAAGCCACTGAGTCCATTCCACGCACAAAATACTCTGCAGTCTAACATCCCGGTTCCCTCTACACACATTTCAGAAATCTGTCTATCTGACACCCACTTCAATCACTTCTGAAAAGTCACAAAACACCCTGTTCATTTGGAGTTCTCATTTTCGTTCATTTTCCGATGGAGTAAGGAACTGAACGCGAGGGAGAAGGATATGCTCGCGGCAGAGGAGCAAAGGATGAGCCCAGGGGAAGCAGCAGCTGCTTGTCTTCAGCCATGCATAGCGGCATTTCTAATAATCACCGAGACACAGTTCCATCTTCCATTCACTGGTTCACTCTCCAAATTTCTGCAACAGCTAGGAGGACTGGATCAGACCAAAGCCAGGAACCTAGAACTCTGCAAGGGTCGGCTAGCTGGGTGGCAGGAACCAGGGTAAGCTCCGGTAATTAGCTGGAATGAAGAACGGCAGACCTGGTACCCAGTCCCAGCATTCCAATACGGCATGCAGGCACCACCCTAAGGCATCCCCAGCCACTGTGCAAACATCCACCTCCTAGGTCATTTTGTGCCCAGCCACCCTGGAAATTTGGACTCCATCTCCTGTCCACCTGAGATCCTTCAGAGGGTAACAGCTGGTCTTAGGCCACTTGTGGGATCTGTGTTCTGACCAGCTGATCTGAACTTAGAATCTTAAGTAAACCCCTACAGTATGTAGCAGCAACTAAAAGAATCCCTCAAATGCAAACAACCTTTCAGGCACAACCAGTCCAAGCCAGTGCAGCATCACAGAGTACATTCTTAATGGCGTTCCAGAGGATCGAAGCCGAGTAGGCGAAAGAGCTTTGAGTTCAGTTTTAGCCTATAGTCTAAGAAAACTAAGCCACGGGTAACAAAAGCACACTAGCAATCTCGCCCACTCCACCCACCCACATCTACAGAACCAGACATAGAGAAGTTGATTGCAACGCTCCTCCTCTTCTCTCATTTCCACAGAGTTTCATAAAAAGAGCAAAGAGGAAGACAGAATATTCTGACGCCTTGAAGTACATTATACTTGCCAATTAAAGGGTTAAAAAGCACTGCTTTTCTGGCACCCTTCTAATTCCTTCTCTACTAAAGCAATTCACTTGACTATCTTTATTACCTAGTTTTTAAAATTCAGAACGTTAAGGGTTAAGACTAACACCTCAGAAGGAAAAAAGAGAGAGAACTTGCTTCAGCTCCGGCCTCCAAGAGCAAATTTCAACAACTCAGCCAAATCCACTCAGCGTGCGCAAGGCGCCACGGATGTTCCAACAGGTGAAACGAAGCTGAATTTCTTCCAATCTCATCCTGCAGCACCACACGCTTAGCCAACTTCATGACTTTGCGGAATACACAAATGTTGGATACAATGAAATCAAGTGTTCAATTCTACCAGAAACTTGAAAAATGTTTACCAACCACAGAGGTCACCACAAATCTGCAAGAAGAGCTAGAATCTGGTGAGGAAGGTCAAACAGTACCCATGGAGACCAAATCAAAACAAAAAGACACAGAGAACACCGGGGCCCCAGCTCTCAAAAGGAAAGCTTTCTAACTTAAGGTCCATTTTATCATAAAGAAACCAGAAAAACGCGGCTTTAGTCATCTGAGGGGCTGGAGGTTGTCACTACTATTAATCCTGCATTTCTAAGGGGAGAAACAAGTGTTTGGCAGATCAAAGCGGGCAGTGACTGATGGCCTGCAGGTCACTGGACAGGACGGTCCAGGAGCACCTGGTCTTGCTACAAATAGGTAGGAAGAGATGAGTCACTATTTTAATTCTGTCGAGTACACTCTGCATCTCGGCCCCCTGGGTTACAGGACGACATTTTTCTTCCTGTTTCCATCCCTTTCTCAGCCTTCCATCCTAAACATACGGACCTAGTGACAATGCTCAGGAGTGGGGCTGGGAGAGTGTGCCACAAACCATCTGGTTAGCAGGAAGAGTTACTACAGAGGGGACCTGATGCCTGCAGGAGAAAATGAAACCGCTTACAGTTACGAATCTGTAGCAAGCAAACTGTTAAGATTTGGACCAGGCTCTGTATCTCCAAGCTTTTCCAGTTTAAAAAAAGAGAGAGAGACACAGAGAGAGAGAGAGCCAACAGCTCCCTGGGGAGAGGTGTCAGAAAGAAGACTGAGTGTGGGCAGAAAGTAATGGACAGTGTAAGAACACACGAAAGTCAATATCCCTTCTGACAGAGACTGGAGGTAACTGGCCAATCTGAAGAAAAGCAACAGCTTCTACAGGTAGGAGAGCAACGTTCAGTAGCCCCGGGCCAAGGAGGGGAGGAAGAAGAGGTGAGAAGAACGGGATACGCATCTAGACCAACTCCATTAGTCACCAACTTCTTGGACTTGAAGTCTACTTCCTCCCCAAGGAGGTGGCTGGTCACCACCCCGGGTCAGGAGGGCACGATCCCCGAGGGAAATAGCAACCCCTTTAAAGTAATAAGCAACCGGCCAAAGACGGGGTTCTTTGGCCAGAGGAGCGCGCCGAGGCCAACGCGCGTCATGCCCCGATGGCCACGGACCTGGGCAGGAACAAGGACAAACGTCCAAGGGAAGCCGGGGGTGGGGCCCGAGCCAGGTAACATTCCTGAGGGGAAGGATTATCAGGTGACACCGGGCGGAGGGCCCAGTGGGGGACTGGGCGGGAGGAAAGTTAGCAGGTGAGAAGGATCAACCCCGTGGAAGGAAGTGACCTTAGAAGGAAACCCAAGCGGGTTGGGAAGGGGCGATCCGGCTCGGCCGAGCACAGGGGGACCCCGAGCGCGAGAGAAGGCGTGTTCGGGTACAGGAGGAGGAAGAAAGGAAGTGAAGCTGAGGGGGCGGGAGGGCACGGCGTGCGGCCGGCGGGTGCGGGGGGCCCCGAGGGCGCCAGGGCCAGGTGGGACTCGGCGCTGGGTCCCAGGCGGGGACCACGTCGGGCTGCGGAGCGAGGAAAGGAAGGCGCGGAGGCGGCTCCCTGGAGACGGGCGGGCGCCCCCGGGGCCCGCTGCTTCGGGGGGTCTCCCGGGTCCCGGAGGGGCGGCGACCGGGCCCGGCGGAGGGAGCGGGGTGGGAGGGACACTCACAAATTTCTTGGATTTGCCGCCGTCGCCGCCCGTCGGAGGCAGCTCATCCGGGCTCCGACCCTTCTTCTTGTCCCGGGTCCCGCGGCCGGGCCCCAGGCCCCCGCCGGACGGCTCCATGTCCCGGTTGGCGCTGGCCACTGACCCCGCGCCTACGCCGCTCCCGCCGGGTAGCTCCGATCCAGCAGCCGCCGCCGCCCAGCAGCTCCTGAGCCTGCCGCCGCGCCCCGCCTCATTAGCATGCCGAGCTGCGCGCGCCTCATGAATATACAACGGTGACGCCTCGCGCCCGCCCGCCTGCCCCACTTCCGCCCGGACCCGCAGCCCCTACCAATGGGGCAAGGGAAAAGGGGTGGAGGGAAACCGCGGAAGCGCACTACCTGCCCAGCGGACCTAACCATTCGGACCCACGTGGAGGGGGGGCTGGCGAGTGGGCGGTGCAGCTCTCCACGGCGGCAGCGAGGAGCACCGCCCCCTGGCGGTGGAAGTGGCGCAAGCCTCTCCGCTCCCACTAGGCGCCCACGTGGCTGTAAATCCCCGGCCTTCTCCCACCCCATGCCAGGATGTTATTATTATCTAAACTGAAATACAGCCGAGACTGTTACCCTGGCAGAAAACTCAGTACCAGAATTGATGCAGTAATGTTGTTTTTCCGTGTAGCTCACGAAAAATGGTTTCAAAAGTGACAGCAACGACGCATGGCAAGCTGTGTGCCAAGGATAGAGCTGGGTCGTCTCCAGCGCTGGACTTTAACCCACAGCAGCTCTACAGTCAGACTGCCTAGTTTTGAATTCCAGGCAGGCTACCTTCTAGCAGCTGTTTCTAACCTAGACAAACGAATTCTTAGCAACAAGTGCCTGAAGAGGAACTACAGTTACTTCTTACCTCACACTTGTTTTGTGCCAACAGATATGTAAATTATCACAATCCCATGTGACAGGTTCTACCGGTCTCACCGTTTCTTTTCTTTTTATTGTTGTTACTATTCTTGTTTATGGATAAGAAATCAGGGCTTTGAGAATTAAAGTGACTTGCCCAAGTAGACGTAACTGATGGAAAATTTAAGCCCTGATTAGTCAGACTGCCAAGCCCTGTGTTTAACCAGATTGCCCATTGACAAAAACAAACATGGGGCTGGGAAGAGGGAGTTCTCCCACGTGTGCTCTCAGCTCTTCCAGTATAACTCCTTTGGCAAACTCCTGCACTTTCCCAGCTACACCTGTCTCAAGAGCTACACCTGTGACAAGTGCCTGCGTCAGCTGCCTCTCACTGGCCAAGGGTTTTGAGGTACATTCCTGGAAGGCGGAGTCAGTGGCTTACTGGAGCTCCAGAGCTCTGCAAACCTGGTGGGCACCCAAATTTAGCCCCCCTCACTTCTGTTCATCTTCTCACTGCCTAATAGGAAGTTGCACAGAGCTTTCCAGACCATATTTCAAATTCAGTATGGTCAAAACAGTTCAAAAGCTATCTGCTTTCCAAGCCAGAGTATTGGGGACAGATGAGACCACGGGACAGCAAGAGTGCCCACAGGCTTTTGTCAGCTACGCTTACCGTTCGTTCTTATTGCATCGTAAAGTTCTTCACAGATGGGCTCATATACGCGGCTCCCACAGTACCCGGCACTGCTCCTCACACAAGGAGAAGGAACTTCTCAGTGCTATGGATCTCACAAGTCCCTGTGTGTCTTCAGCAACCAGCATCATTGTTTGGAACACACAGGCCCAACACCTTGAAATCGCCTTCTGCTTCCTCTCAAGCTAGTCATCCACCCAGCTTTGCTCAACTCAACAAAGAAATGCTCCATCAGCTTCCCGAATCTAAGCAGGGTGACCCGGGTAGAACATGTGCACAAGGCCTAACCAGGCACGCTGAATGAATGTGAACTCTGATGGTTACTGTGTGCATCATGGCCCTCCTCTGCCTACAGGCAATGCAGCAAGAATCAATACTACCAGAAAAGGCAAAATGTAGAAAAAATACCAACTTGGTTTATTGGATAAAAACAGTGGTAAAATGGACATAAAGCCAAAAGTGAGGACATTTTCATATCCTCCCCCTACTCAACACAAACCTGGTAATCTGGGGTTGTGCTGTTATGGGCCAGCCCAGCGCCCCCACCACTTGCCTTGTAGTCCAGGCCTGTGGTAGAGGAAGAAATCAGAGGCAACCTATGTCCCAAACCTTTTCATCCCTAGAATATCCGGGCTGGTGGGAAGCAGGGAGGAAGTTAAGGGGCCAGAAGGGCTGTGCACTGGCCTCTAGGGCTCACTGCCCAAATGTTCCAGACATTTCTGTCCCTGTCTCACTCCTAATAGGTACCATCATTAGGTTGTGGGAGAGAGAATAGAAGGGGATAGATGGTTCTAAACCCAGCTGTGGTCTCCAAACCCTTCTCCAGAGTTCCCAAATGTCCTGGGAGCGGCCAGTCAAAACACCAGGGGACTCACACTCTTGCCCTCCCATCGAACCAAGAGTGAAAAGGAGTTTCTCAACACAGCATCTCAAACTGCTCTCAAATCTCCACATCACTTTCCTTGTCATTGTCATGGTCTCCATCGTAGAACTCATTGGGTGCCTCTGGCCTGCAAAGCAAGGGAAGACACATGGTCAGGATGCTTCATTCCACTTTCCAAGCTCCGTCTTCTCCCAGAGCCCTGTCTGGGGCTGTGTCGCAGACTCCTGTGTCAGGAAACCACTCCTCTCCTCCTGCTGGTAAAGACTGCTCACCAAGCCATCCTTTTGTGTGTTCAGGAACACAGAGGTATTGTACTGTGCTGGAGACAGTCCACTAGAGAGGCGGCCTGTCCTCAAAGGTTTCCCTAATAGATGACACTGACCACAACGAATGAAGGAAACGGTGGAGAGTACTACATACAAACGCAATAACTACCACGACTGAGAACAATGGAAGGCAAAGGATGACACTCCAGACAAGATGGATACGAGAAATCTGCTCTCAGAATATAAGACCTGAAGTCTGAGCCGGGAGTGGCTGAACAGAGGTTCCAGGAAGTATACTCCAAACCCCAAGAAAACCAAGTGTGGGGATCATGATGTGGAAGGAAACTGACCTAGTCCCATAATAAGGGGGAGGACAGGAGGGCTGGGTGTGGTGCCTGCAGAGTGGAGAGACTGGGGAGGGCCTGCTAAGGGACTTCCTTTTAAGTGCAAGGGAAGGGGGAGGGGGGATGTTTGAACCACAGGCATGACCTGATGTCATAAACTTGTACTGGAAAAAGGAATGTGAGGGTAACACAGGGCCCAGGAGGGGCTAGATCTTGGACTCAGTCCCGTGTCTGAACAACATTTAGCTCCCTTAACTCATACAGATGCTTAGATGCAAAGTCGTATGCCAGAAAGGACTTAGGGTGGAGATTTGATCTAAGGATGACACCTGGGAGGCGGCCTCTAGGAGAGGTCTCTGGGTCACTGTGGCCTGCCCTGGCAAGGCCAACACGGGAGCAGAACCTACTCCTTGAGTCCCTCCGCACCCTCGACTGCACAAGATGCCTGAACCAACAGGACCACTCAGCCTGGGCCTGTGGGCCTCAAAGGTTAGGAAAGCCGGAACAGGACTAAACTTCCTCTCTGAGCAGTTCCTCCCAGGTCTTTTAGTTGAAGTGCCATTGATGCTAATTCAAGCGGCTGCTTTCTTTTTTTTAAAGACTTTTTTTTTAATCGGAAAGTCATATTTTGTAAAGAGGAGAGACAGAAAGATCTTCTATTTATTGGTTCACTCCCCAAGTGGCTGCAACATCTGCAGCTGAGACAATCCAAAGCCAGGAGCCAGGAGCTTCTTCTGGGTCTCGCATGCAAGTGCAAGGTCCTAAAGCTTCGGGCCATCCTCTATTGCTTTCCCAGGCCACAAGTAGGGAGCTGCAAGGGAAGTTGAGCAGCCAGGACACAAACTGGCACCCATATGGGACCCTGGAACATGCAAGGCGAGTACTTTAGCCACTAGACTACCATGCTGGGCCTGGCTGCTTTCTTTTTGAAAAACTTCCCAGGGTCAGCATGGTGGTTCAACAGGCTAATCTCCTACCCACAAGGACCAGCATCCCATATGGGCACCGTTTTGTGTCCTGGCTGCTTTACTTCTGATCCAGCTCTCTGCAGATCAACCTCTTAGGGTTGCCCACAAGTAACAGAATGATGATATGACTGTTACAATATCAAGTACTCAGTATGCAGTCTGATGCTTAGCCAACCCACAAATTTGGTCACTCATATTGTTACGACTCTGCCAGTTAACCGCATGCTGGAGCTATAGGCATCAAATCAGAACAGGAACTTCGTGGGTAGTCTGCTGGTGCAGCAAGGCTCAGAAACAGGAAGAGGCCTGAGGCATCTGCTGGCTGTTGAAAGGGGGCGGTATAATACTGAGAGGAGGCCCAGATGCCAGCCTGGAACTACTGATGAAAAGCCAAACTCTGATAAGAACCTAAAAATAGCTTTTACCAAAGCAATGAGACAATGAAAATCAATACCCAAAGTCAGCCTTCCGATAACTGGGTAAGTCAGGAGATGACTGTTAGCACAGGAAGCTATGTGGCCTTCCTAGGTCCTCACCAGCAGACGAAAGGAGGGGGATTTATGGAGGAAAGAAGCCCAGGGCCGGAAGAGAGATTTGAAAGCTCATTTCTAAGACTCAGATGCCATGAGACTTCTGCAGAGCTGGCCCGACCTCTCACACTGGACAGGGGCAGGCCTGCATGTCCGGGTTGGACAGCCCTCAATCATGCCAGGACTCCACTAGCACCAGTTTGAGTCTCAGCTGCTAATGTGAGTCTGAGAGCAGCAGAGGATGGCCCAAACGACCCACCAAATGGGAGACCTTGAAGTTTCTGGCCCTTGGCAGGCCTGGCCTAGCCCCAGCTACTGAAGCCATTTAGAATAAGTGGATACAAGATCTTTCCATGTTTCTGTCTCTGTGTAGCTCTTATTTTCAAGCAAGTTTAAAAACAAAATTTTAAACCAAAGCTAAGCAGTACTTGTTTCTGAGGAATGGGTCTGGAGTGAGTGAAAATTTGATGTATTTTAGTACTCTTTTGAATATGTGAGACTCATCATTAAACACAGGAGAGAAGGGCAGGGGAGTTGCAGCTGACTGCAGGAAGTAAGCCAGGGACAGTTAGGCCAAAGCCTCACACATGCTTCTGCCCACTCCAGCCTCCCCAGCCAGCTAGCTGGCCAGCCTGCTGGGACTCCCCGCCTGCAGGTCCCAAAGCCAGACCTGCTGTAGTTCTCTTCAGGTCCCCGCTCCTCAGCATCTGCCTCGTCCGTCCTGTCATAGGTCAGGAGATCCGCAGGTACATCATGAATCTGGACACTGGGCGCGTGGTTCAGCATCTTCAGGTTTTCAAAGATGGTTTGGCGGATCTGATCCAGATACTGGTTGGAGACCAAGAGCAGGTGGTGAGCAGCTAGCAGGGCTCCCCAGGCCACCCAGCCCTCTGGTGTGACTCTCAAGTGCTGCTCCAGTCCAGGCGCCCCAACCAGCCACTGCCCTCCCTGCAGCCTCTGCTTCAGCCTGGGCTGCCCCCGAGGTCACAGCAGGACCTCTCCCAGGCTTTCCCACCCTGGGGTCAGCTCCTGGGAGCCGCTGACCTGCCGGGAGTTCTGATTCTCGATGCGCGTGCTGACATCTGGATGCAGCGTGAAGTCCGGGGCAAAGTACTCGAAGTATTCTTGGGGAGGAGTTGGTAGAAGCAGGGGCTCAGGCCCACCCAGGCAGGTCTCAAGCCTTCCCATTCGCTTTCCCTCCCACGCAGACCCCTTAAGAAATAGCTTCCCGATGTCTTGCCTCTTCTCAACTCAAAAGGGTTCAGTCTAGAGTTCTGAGCATGTAACACATCCCATCTACCCCTGGGATCACTCAGGAGTTTGGGAGAAGGCCCTTCCTGAGGGAATGGCAAGAGGCAGTCCTTACCACTATAGGGGAGCTCCTCACTAATGGCCTCTTCCACCAGCAGCGACGTCTCGTATGTCCTGAAACCAAGCAGCAGGGCAGGGTAGACAGACCAAGCAGGCTGAAGGGCCCACCTCACTTACACTGGACTGGGAAGAAAAAGAATGAGGAAGGGCGCTCACCAGCAGCGGGCCACGTTTCGGACGGTATAGCCACCTCCACCTAGCACCAGTAGAGGGATGTTGAAGCTCTTGACATATTCCACACATTCTCTGTCAAAAATAAACCAAAGAAATGGATGGGGAAGGTGAGCCAAAGGTAAAGTATCCTCCTCCAAGCATTGTCTGAAAAGAGGCACAAAGCATCCACCATGCTCCATATCTTGATTCAGGGAATGAAATTCATCAAGCTGCCACTGCTGGGCCCATTCTCACCCTACACCTTTCTCCACTAAACAGCCACCTGAAAACACAGGTCATCCCAGATTATCTCCTGCATGAAAGCCTTCCTCCCATCACATTTGGAGTATAGCTCAAATTCCTTGACAAGGTTTAAAGGAGCCACACAATCTCACCCCAGTGACGTTGGAACTCACTGCAAACTTCCTCTGCCTGCTCCCCATGTTCTGGCCCTACTGGTTAGATTTCACCTCCTCCACTGCATCAGTTCTTCCCTGCCTAAAAACCTCCCATGGGCTCCCCTCCCTTCCAGGACAGGATTGCTCTGCTTCCAGCCTGGGCCTTTGTGGTCTCCAGGTCCCAGTTCAAATCCCGCCCCTGCAGAAAGCAGGGCTGAGAAATCACGCTGAGGCATAGGTTCCCATTGTTACCCTATGTCTCAGCTATTTTCCTTCCTTTACAGGCTTTAGAATAACTTAGGAATTATATCTGCGTATTTCTTTTTTGTCTGTTTTCTATCTTATTTTGAAAACTCCAGCAGCGTTTCCTCATGTAATCCACATCACCAAGTCCAACGCCTGGAACATCATAGGTGCTTAATGAAAACCTCATGTGAATGAACGACCATTAAAGGAACCCTGCTTAGTATGGTATTTCTAGTTCAAGTGCAGTATGTAGTTGTAAGTCATTCCCAAGAAGAGGTCAGGTTCCATGAATGTGGTCCCATGGAAAGAGGACAAGCAGGACAAGGAGGAAGGACAAGCCTCACCCATGTCCCCGGATGCTCAGGTTGAAGCAGCCTAGTCGGTCACAGCCCAGGGAGTCGGCTCCACACTGCAAAGAGCAAAACCCCAGGGGGCCGCAGTTAGGCCACCGCAGTCAGGGCATTACTCATGTCCACTGCTTTCTTACGGCCACTCCCCAGGGACATGCCTCTTCCCTGCTCTTTCCTCAAGTCCAGGCAAGCCCTCAGGAGGCAGCCCCGAGTGTATTACCTGGAGCACAATGCATGTGGGCTGGTAGAAGTCCACCACCTGGTTGATAACTGGTTGGAAAAGGTGCTTGTAACCTGGGAGAGGGCCAAAGAGGGACACCTGGCACCCCAAGGGGATGGGGAGACAGGGAACAAAAAGAAAAAGGGGGTTGAGAGAGCATGTAGCCTAGGAAAGGGGCAACCTAAAGAATCAAGCCTTTGGTTCCATGCAGCTGAACAGGCTCCCAGACCGCTCCAAGTGACTGACAAAACCAACCCCTTTCCCAAAAAAGGCACATACACACAGTATGCTGCATATAATTTCTGGGGGCTCAGGTCCCCCTAAAGGCCACTCATTCATCCAGCCCAACAGTAGATAATGAGGCAAAAGTAGTTACTTCCAGGAGAGACAGAAGGGCACAGTACGCAGGGAGGTGCCAACACTTACTCTGATCATCAATGCCATCTCGCAGGGGCACATTCAGACAGTAGTAGCGGCCACTCTCTGCTCCTACTTCATACATGTCACCTAGAGGGAAGTATGGGTTAGCCACACCTGCAAAGCATGCACACCCAGCTGCGTCATCTCCATTTCCCTCCACCAGACTCTGCAGAGCCACTAAAGTCTCTTGCAGCCCACACTCATTCAACAACAACAAAAATTTTGTTGAGGGCCTACCATGAGCCAAACCATGCAGCATGCTCTGGGGACGTAGTGGTGAACTGAAGCACTGACATTAGTACCCACCAAGCTGGTATTTATTCTCGGCAGAGGGGGCACATAAGACGAAGGACACAGTAAACAAAACAGCACAGCAGGTGGAGGAGCAGTGAGCACTCCGATCACATATAGTGATCACCATAACTGAGGTGGTCAGGGAAGGCTTCTCTGAGGCGTGCACACCCGAGCTGAGACCAGAAGGCCAACGAGGCAGCGACGGCACAGAACTGAGGGGAGGGGCAGGGAGAGCAGTGCTGGTTCCATACCTGTGCCAGGGAAGAAGTAATTTCCGTATTTGTGGAAGGACACTGTCATGACCCGGTCGGTGAGGTAGAAGGCCTCCTGAACACCGTCACCATGGTGGATGTCGATGTCAATGTAGAGCACGCGGGGGTGGTACCTGGGGGGAGGGCCGAGCCCCAGTCTGAGGCGGGGTGCACACCCACACACACTCCGCAAGCAGACTGTTGATTTCTGCAGAGTCAGCTTCTGCCCATCCCAGCTAAAACGCAATCCCACCAGATTCCCAAAGGCCCACCCTGGAGCTCCTGCCTGCAGGCAGGAGGCAGGGACAGGAAATGGATGTGCAGAGGTAGCTGAAATGCGAGCAGGCAGCATGAACTTGGGAGGTGGAGGAGGTCAGGGCCAGGGTGGAGTCTGAGGGATCTCCTCCAAGAGTCTCCTAAGTGCACCACCTCCCTCAGGGTCACTTACTTGAGCAGTTCCAAGATGCCAATTACAATGTCATTGACGTAGCAGAAGCCAGATGCCTATGTGAGACATTGGTCTTAGGGAGACAGGACCAAGCGTTCCAGCCAGCTGCCCTCTCCTCCGACATCCCTGCCGGTGGGCTCTCTGTCCCCCCTCACTTCCTCCCTTACCTCAAATTTCTTGGCATGATGCAGACCACCAGCCCAGTTAATGGCAATATCACAGATCTGAAAGATAAACACACAACTGCAGCTACCTGTGCGTAAGGCTGCGAGCCCAGGGTCAGCGTTAGGGCCCAGAGTCCAGAGCCCAACAGACACAGGGGGACAAGGGCTTGGGAGGACTTGGGGCCACATCACCTTGTTGTTCAGCTGTGTTGCTCCTTGCAGAGACGCACCTGTGTAGCGGGAACAGAACTCGAAGAGCCCGGGGAACACTGGGCTGTGGGCAAGAGGAACTTGCTGGATCCCTTTCGCTGCGGTCCAGCACCTCCCTTCCCCGCCCTCCTCACCCACCTGCCCCCAATCTCCATTTGCCACCAACACTCTTTCCCACTGCCCACCTGAGCATATCTCAACAAACATTTTGGATCAAATTGGGAACCAAGCCCCGTGCAGAGCAAATAGAGATTTACTGAACTCTGCCAGGAAGTTCGCACCCCAGCTGTAGAAAGAAGCAAACAGCTTTGAGGTTCTTGGATATACAGGAGAAAAGAAATATGCTGAGAAAACACAAGGTCTGCTTTGCTGAAAACAATCTTCTCTGTGCACCACATGGTAACAGTGTTTAATCATATACTTTACAATCACACATTATAAAGAAAGGACTATATTCTGATATATGTGGACTACTAATAACGAGATAACCCACTGACAATCATTAGCTCAGTGTGTGGCACCCAGTAAGCCTTCAATAAATGTTAACTATAATTACTGTCATCTTCACTCTGTTATAAAAAGGAGAGGCTTAAAGCCAGACACAAAAGGCTACATACAACATGACTTGATTTATATAACATTCTGGAAAAGGCAAACTAGGAGAGCAAGACAGCCGATTCATAGTTACTGGAGCTAGGATGAGCAAAAGGGATCAACGACTGCAGGGTGTGAGCCACCTTCTTGACAGAACAGAAATACTTCCTATCTTGACACATTCTATCCAAATGCTCAGAACTGTTACACTACAAAAAGGTGACTTTCACCATATGTAAATTATACCTTCCTAAACCTGTCTTCTTTTTTAATAGATTTTTTAAAAAGATTTATTTACTTTTTATTGTAAAAGATCTACAGAGAGAAGGAAAGACAAAGATCTTTCATCCACTGGTCCACTCCCCAAGTAGTCACCATGAAGCTGAGCTGATCCAAAGCCAAGAGCCAGGAGCCTCCTCTGGGTCCCCCACGTGGGTGCAGGGTCTCAGCCTTTGGGCCATCCTCTACTGCCTGCCCAGGCCATAAGCAGAGAGCTACATGGGAAGTTGAGCAGCCAGAACATGAGCTGGTGCTGACATGGGATCCTGGTACATGTAAGGTGAGGGCTTGAGCCACTAGGCTTCCGTGCTGGGCACCTAAACCTGACTTTTAAAACAGGAAAAGCTTGGGGCTGATGTAGACATCAAAACACTGCCTGTGCCACCAGCATCTAGTATCAAAGCTCTGGCTGTAGCTCCCTGTTAATGTGCCTGGGAAAACAGAAGGTGATGGCTCGAATATCTGGGTCTCCACCTCCTACGTGGGAAACTAGTGACTGTTTGACTAGGCAAGCTGTTGAATTTGGAGGGGGCTGCAGAGGTCTCATCTGACAAAGGGAAGCAGTTAACGGACCCTGCCTCACAGGCACTGCTGAGACTGAGCACAATGTCTAGTAGACAGCAGGTAATCGAGTATTATGGTGAAGAGTAAATTAATAGTACTTGAAACTCCAAAACTGCCAGAAGAAAAAGGACTACAAGTAGCTGCCTCTACAGAGAGGAATTTTGGGGTGGGTTGGATAAGTCTGGGATTGCAATTGTCTTTTTGTTACAAGTCTTAGATTCATCCTCTTTGAAAACAGTCAGAAACTAACGAAAAGGGAATGGGGAGGGAGTCTGGCTAGACTGTCCTCTGAGGCCTGGTGAGGCCTCAGTGTGATAGGGCTGAGGCAGCACAAACCGCACAGAGGTAAAGATTTCTTTATTGCATACACAGCAGTTCCAGGGCCTAGCAGTGGCCCAGAGCCTGACACCACACTCCCAGATCTATAAGTGAACTCAAAAACAGTGGCCAGAACAGCCACCAAGAAACAAGATACCTCCCAAGACAGTATGTGACTGGATGGCACACAGCAGTACAGCATGTGCAGGGCAGAGCTCCAAAGGCCAGCCTGGGCGGCCCACTGGTCCAGAGGCGCCAAGAAGGGTGGCAAGGCCGTGCAGAGTTGTGCCAAGAGAATACTTCTCCAGGAGGACACCCTGTGCCAGCGAGGCGTGGGAAGGGCAGGAAGGTGCCCAACACCAGCCCGAGGAACTGCCCTCTGCCCTCCCGCCCAGGTTGCTTCAGCCAGACTTCACAACAGTGAAGTCATTTAAAAACCTGGCCCCTGGTTTAAAAAAAAAAAACCTATCACCTCTAGTGACCAGTGATGTAACTGAACCATTAGATTTCAGGGGTGATAAAATAATTAGGCGACTACGCAGCAAATATCATAGTAACATCTAGCAGAATATGCACTCAAAAAATACTACCATCAATTGGGGCCCGGCGGCGTGGCCTAGCGGCTAAAGTCCTCGCCTTGAACGCGTGCAGGATCCCATATGGGTGCCGGTTCTAATCCCGACGGCCCCGCTTCCCATCCAGCTCCCTGTTTGTGGCCTGGGAAGGCAGTCAAGGATGGCCCAGGGCTTTGGGACCCTGCACCTGTATGAGATACCCGGAAGAGGTTCCTGGCTCCTGGCTTCAGATCGGCATAGCATTGGCCGTTGCACTCACTTGGGGAGTGAATCATTGGATGGAAGATCTTCCTCTCTGTCTTTCCTCCTCTCCATATATCTGACTTTCCAATAAATAAATAAATCTTTAAAAAACAAAAAATGCTACCATCACAAGAAACACAGACTGAAAGTCTCAAGAGACAACAGGAGCCAGAGCCACGGTAGAGCAAGCTAGTCCTTCGTGTGGCTCTGGCATCCCCTACGGGTGCTGCTTCTAGTCCTGGATGCTCCACTTCCCATCTAGCTCCCTGCTAATGCACCTGGGAAAGCAGCAGAGGATGGCAAAAGTTTGGACCCCCATACCCACATGAGAAACCAGGACGAAGCTCCTGGCTCAGAGTTTCAGAAAAGCCCAGGTCTGGCCAGTGTGGGACATTTGGGGAGAGAACCAGAAGATGAAAGATCTCTCTCTCTCTCTCTCTGACTCTTCTTTTCTCTGTAACTCTGCCTTTCAAATTAAAAAAAGTAATAAATCTTTAAAAAGAGAGACAGCAACCAAATACAATATGTAGACTTTATTTAGATCTTGATTAATAATAATTAACTGCAAATATATATGTGTATATGTGTGATATATATGTATATACACATATGTATGTATGTATATGTGTGATACACACACACACACACACGTATGGAGCTGACCTATGGCACACTAGTTTAAACCTTCACCAATAATGCCAGCATCCCATATGGGCACCAGTTCAAATCCTGATTGCTCCACGTCCGATCTAGCTCCCTGCTAATGCACCTGCAAAGGAAATGGAAAGTGGCCTAAATACCAGATACAGATATAGGAGATGCAAGCAAAGTTGAAAGCTCCTGGCTTCAGCCTGGCCCAGCTCCAGCTGTTGCAGCCATTTGAGAGTAAGCCAGCACATCTCTGTTTAACTCTAACTTTCACTTAAATAACAAATCTTAAATGTATATATCTATATATATGAGAACTGAAGAAATCTAATTACTATTTACACAGCTGATGAAGCTGAGGAATGACTAATATTGATATTAAAATTCTACTGTTGGGGCCTGGCGTGATGGCACAAGTGGTTAAGGTCCTCGCCTTGCATGCCCGGGATCCCATAAGGGGGCCGATTCTAATCCCAGTGGCCCCGCTTCTCATCCAGCTCCCTGTCTGTGGCCCGGGAAAGCAGTCAAGGACAGCCCAAAGCTTTGGGACCCTGGACCCATGTGGGAGACCTGGAAGAGGCTCCTGGCTTCGGACTGGCATAGCATCGGCCGTTGCGCTCACTTGGGGAATGAATCATCGGATGGAAAATCTTCCTCTCTATCTCTCCTTGTCTCTGTATATCCGCCTTTCCAATAAAAAAAAAAATAAAATAAATCTTTAAAGAAAAAAATTCTACTGTTGTCCATCACTGCAGTCCCAGCACTTAGCACAGGGCCTGACCAAGAGCAAATGATCACTAACAACTGAATAAGAAAGTGATTGGCGACACCCTTATAAGTAGCACCCCCCCCCTCCTTTCCAGTCCTCCTCCTGCTGCCACGACCTCCTGGAAAATGCTGGCCACGAACAGTCGCAATCTCCCCTCACCAGTCATCGCCCACATTGAAGGCATTGAGGCTCTTGGTGAAGCCTTGCATGTTGGTGGGGCTGACGCGCTGCAGGAAGTCAATGTAGTCCTCAGAGTGGAAGCGGCACATGTCATGCTGAGAGGCCTGATATGGCTTGAAGACCTCAGGATGGAGATATAAGAGGAACTCAGGCAGGATCCATCTCCCTCCCGGTGCCAAGAACGCCCACAGCTACGAACAGCTTGAAATAGCCAGGTGGGTTATTGTGATCAAGACTGATTTCTCCCCCCTTCCTCTCCTTCCTTACCAACCTGTTTAACCTCTCCTAACTTCTCAATCTTGATCACTGATCTACCTGCCTCCCACACTCACCTCCTCCCTGATTCTATTCTCTCTTATCTGGAGTCAATGATACGGTAAATATGCCCACCTTCTAATTAAGATGGAAGGTGCTTTTATTTTTAGGAACTGAGACCCATAAATCTCTTTAAAAATTGGTCAGAAAACACAATTACACACAGGTAAACCATCTCAAGGGACCCCGGCCCCCAAACTCCTACACTAACATCACCTCACTCTTTTTTTTAACAGTAAGTTTTTTAGATTTATTTATTTTTATTGGCAAGTCAGATTTACAGACAGGAGAGACAAAAAGATCTTCCATCCACTGGTTCACTCTCCCCAGTGGCCACAACGGCCAAAGCTGAGCCAATCCAAAGTCAGGAACCAAGAGCTTCTTCTGGGTCTCCTAAACAGGTGCAGGGTCCCAAGGCTTCAGACCATCCTCTACTGTTTTCCCAGGCCACAAGTAGGGAGTTGGATGGGACACAAACCAGGGACCATACAGGATCCTGGTGCATGCAAGGCGAGGCTTTAGCCATTAAGTCATCACAGGGGGCCCCATCACCTCTTTTCTACAACCAATTTTCTACAACCAATTCACTTATCTATGCCTCAGCATGATTCATTCATGCTGAATGAATGAACATTCAGCCATGTTGGTGACTAAGACCTCTCAGAAGGGTCATGCTCAGGCCCAATACAATGGCTCAATTTGTTTAATCCTCCCCCTGCAAGCACCAAGATCCCATACGGGCACTGGTTCATGTCCTGGTTGCTCCAGTTCCATCCAGCTCCTTCTTATAGCCTGGGAAAGCAGCCAAGAATGACTGAAAGCCTTGGGACCCTGCAGCCACATGGGATACCCGGAAGAGGTTCCTAGCTCCTGGCTTTGGATTGGCTCTGCTCCGGCCACTGTGGCTATTTGGGGAGTGAATCAGTGGATGGTTCTTTCTGTTTCTCCTCATTGTAAATCTGCCTTTCCAATAAAAATAAATAAACCTTTTTTTTTTTAAGGGGGGTTGGTCTCAACTGGTAGGACCCCATATTATTCGTAGCTTTAAATTCCAAGCTCGGGACCCATGGGGTGGGTAGTCTGTGAGATGGGAGACTGGGAAGCTATCAGGCGAAAGTGTGGAGGGCTATTCCAAGCTGTGAACACCCAGGGAAGCCCATGCTCTTTGATACCCATGAACACATTTACAGGCAGGGTGGTGCAGAGTTCTCTCTGGAGCTCTGACTCCTTGGAGCTGGAGAGAGACAGCAGAGAAAGGCTTGGAATAGAGGGCAAACCTCACTCTCAGATACAGTGATCCAGCGTGGACAGCCCTACCCACACCTTCAAACACAGGGGAGGCTGCCTTCAAGCCAGCCCTCAGAACACCCTAACTCCAGACCAAGGGCTGGTTCGCAGGTCAAAGGGCGAGCCTGAGGTGCAAAAGTAACTCCCACTAAGTCAGGGGACACCTCCTCAACATTTTGCACATAAGCGGAAGCCTCTGGTGTCTTTTCCTCTGCCACCCCCGACTCCAGGGGTGGGTGGCACTTGGTGCATTCAGTCCAGCCCACCTATCCTTAAAGCCGCGGCTCGCCCTCACCCCCGGTTCCCAGAAGCAGCGAGACTCACGATCATCTTCTTATACAGGCCGTAGTGCAGGACCAGGCTATGGGTCAACGCCAGGCGATGAGGTTTCATAGGGTGCCCAGCCCCTGGGGTGAGGGGAGAACAGAGTCCGTCAGTTCCCGCCCCCTGGAGACGCAGCCCCGATCTCGAAACCTCCGCGTGCCGGGCCCTCGCTCACATCCCTCTCTCCTTACCGTAGTGGAAGTTGCCCACGTCGGGGTCGTAGAAATAGGCCACGGTCTTGGCCATGGTGCCGGCCGGAGCAGGCCCCGCGCCTCCGCCGCCAGCCCCACCCCCGGCCGTGCGTGCTGCGTAAGCACGCAGCCTGCCCTGCGGAACGGGGGCGGTCCCGCCCCGCCCCGAGGCCGCGCCCAGGCCGCGCCCAGGCCACGCCCCCTTGCGGAGTTCCGCCGCTCAGCCGGCTGCGTCCTGCGAGGCTCTGGGACTTGAGCAGCCGGGCTTGACCCAGGCAACGGGTGGCTTTCGTCCCAGGATGCGAGAAACATTTCTTTGCGGGCGGAGGTCAAATCCTCGGGAAGCCAGGCCATCCATCCCGTCCCGCCACTTGCCCCAAACCGAGCACAGGCAATGGTCACTGCTGTAGGAAGCCCTGAAGATCCCGCCACGCCGCCCCTCTCAGGTGCAGAAAAGCCCGCTTCCCCCGGCCCACCGGGAAGACTCCCCTGCGTCCACTTAGCCAGGGCATCTGAGGGCAGGAGCTGCGCCAGGCGTGCCGGATAGGCCAGAGGCGAGCAGCCCCGCCTAACCTGCTGTCCCCCACCTGAACCCAGCCTCGGTGCCGCGTATTATCCCCCGGGGTGGGGGAGGTGGTCGGCGCAGTCACGCGCGCATCCCACTTGCAGCTCACACGCGCGTAAGGCTCACGCTCTCCGCCCGGCACACCTGCGCTCCGCCCCTTGGTCCCTGGCGAGCCACGGGCGAAGGCATTTGAGAACCCAGGGGAGGCTTGCAGGGGCTGCCCCAATCTCCTCCCTTTCCCAGGGCCCGAGTTACCCAGAGCCTGCCGCGGCCAACCAGCCCGCATCCCGGACATCCTCCTCCCCCTCCCCCAACGCCAGCACCGCACCGGTATCCGCAGCCACAGCCGGGAGCCGGTGAGGCGGTGAAGGGGGAGGGGGAGGAATCAAGGGATGAGCGCCGGGAGGGCGTCGGGGGCCTTGAGCCGGACTAGGACGCCCCTGGAGCCAGAAGCCGAGCCGGAATCGGAACCAGAACCTAACCACCGGTACCGGGTGGGCCAGGTGGCCGAGGTGGGAGGGATCGAAAAGGGAAGGGAAGGGTCCGGGAGTTCCAGGGGGGAGGCGGCTGCAGAGGCCTGGCTCAGGCTGGTGCGGAGAAGGTGCAGACACTGACTCGGGCGCGATTTGTGCCACAGCTGCCTGAGCATTCTGTCTCATCTCGCACTGCAGTGTCCTTGGGAGGGAGGCTGGTGCAGGACGAGCTGGAAAGGGAAACAGCTTGGGCGTCGGGATCGAGCCTGGACCAGGGAGGTGGCAGAGGGCTTGCACAGGCTTCCTGCCACGGGCGCTCTGGGCAAACCAGCACCTCTAGCCCGGACAGCTCCCTGGTCAGGAATGGGGTGTGACAGGACCCCTGAGGCGTGCCCTTTTCAGATCCTAAGAATGGCATTCCTCCCTTACCACTTTCCAGCTGCAGTCCCCTAAACCCAGGAGGCGCCCTGGCCCAAGCTCGCCCCCCAGGGCCTCATGTCGGAACCACAGCCTGACCTGGAGCCGCCCCAGCATGGGCTGTACATGCTCTTCCTGCTGGTGCTGGTTTTCTTTCTCATGGGCCTTGTGGGCTTCATGATCTGCCACGTGCTCAAGAAGAAAGGCTACCGCTGCCGCACGTCCAGGGGCTCCGAGCCTGACGACGCCCAGCTCCAGCCCCGTGAGTGAGGAGTGAGGAAGCCTGGAGCCCTACCTGCCCTTCCTCCCCATCCCTCTCCCCTACTCCCGGGTTCCACTACCCTTCTCTCCTGGTGTCCTCACCCCTGTGTCTGCCTCCCCAGATGACAGATCCAGGCCAAAACCTGACCAAGCCTGCAGAATGCTGAATGATATAGGTCCTTGAGTCAGCAAGTGGGGACACCACTGGGAAAACAAGACTAGAGGAGGCAGTCTGGGCAAGAAGGGTCCACTGTTAGAAGTATCCGGCTCCCATCAACTTCCCCAGCCCCCCAAACGCTGAAATCCAGCATGATGGCAAAGTACTGGAGGGGTACTTCTTGAGCAGTAATCCACAAGGCCACCAGGCTGTGCTCCTGCAAGCTGACTCATTTCCCACTTCTTGCCAACCTCTTTCATCCTTCAGCCGAGGACGATGACGTGAATGAGGACACGGTGGAGAAGATTGTTCGCTGCATCATCCAAAACGAAGGTGAGTGAGGTGGCCCTGGGCCCTGCCGCCTACATTTCCTCACGCCTGACCTCCACTGACTCCCTCTTTTCCTCTCCCCGCCCAGCCAACGCAGAGGCTCTGAAGGAGATGCTGGGGGACAGTGAGGGAGAAGGGACAGTGCAGCTGTCCAGGTGAGCTAGGAACAAGGGCCACCATGACTTAGCTTGCCTACACCCTTCTGTACATCAGCACGATCCCCTCTCAGTGTCCATGCAAGTGTTGAGGTGGGGAGGGGAGGAAGGGTGAGGCTGGGTAACTTACAGTGAGAAAAGTTTTGTAGAAATCCAAGTGCATCAAACGGTATCTCCCATCTGGCTATTGTCAACCTAAGGATTCATGCCTAGTGCTGCTCTTTGGGGGTTAAGCTGTGGCCGTTTCTGGGAAGGAAAGCACATAGCCATTGTCATCTCCATAATGGGTTTATTAGATAAAAGCAAGAAGGAACATTGGGTCCTGAGGGAAATGGGGCTCCTGGGAGGTCTTGGGGATGTGCTGAAGACAGTAGGAAATGGAACAGGCAGGGAAGTGCAATTGTCATCCTGCCCTGTCCCTCCCTTGCCGTCCAGTGTGGATGCCACCTCCAGCCTGCAAGACGGAGCCCCCTCCCATCACCACACGGTACACCTGGGCTCTTCTGCCCCTTGCATCCACTGCAGCCGGAACAAGAGGCCTCCACTTGTCCGTCAGGGACGCTCCAAGGAAGGAAAGAGCCGCCCCCGGCCTGGGGAAACGACCGTGTTCTCTGTGGGCAGGTAGGAATAGGGTGCCCCTGGGAAAGGAGGGCTGAGCTGGGGGACTCAGTGATCAGATATCTGACCCCAAATGTGGACCCCAGGTTCTTTCCTCCTGCACTGAGAGCTGTAGCAAGTCACTGGCCCACAATCTGACAAGGCCTGTTCTGCCTTAGGCCAGAGGGAAGTGACCATGAAACCCAGGATGTCCATGGTTGAAGGAGAGGGCCAAATGGTTTCTGAGTTGTGGCACTAAACTTCACTCTTCTGTCCCCCCACCTCCAGGTTCCGGGTGACACACATTGAGAAGCGCTATGGGCCACATGAGCATCGTGATGGCTCGCCCCCAGACAGGAGTTGGGGTTCTGGTGGGGGGCAGGACCCAGGGGGTGGTCAGGGGTCTGGGGGAGGACAGCCCAGGGCAGGAACACCTGCCATCGAGAGGCGGCCCGCCGAAGTATCACAACCCCAGGCTCTAGCCAGCCCACCAGTGCAGAATGGAAGACTCAGGGACAGTGGTCTCGTCCCTTGCACACTTGAAGGGAACCCTGGAGCCTCTGCACAGCCAGTACTGGGGACCAGAGGGAGGAGCCCAAACCCAGGGCTGCCAAGTCCAGAGGTAAATGGACAGCCAAGCAAACCGGACCCCTCAGATTGCCAAGTATGATGAGGCCAAGGCTACAGCTGGCTCAGTTCTCATTGCCTCTTTTCAAGTGGGGGCATTGATAGGACCACCCCTCCCATTGTTGACCCCATCTCTTGGCTCAGGTCTCTCTGCCACAGGGAGTAGGGGCTGTGTGATGCCAAGTCAGGTAATCTCATCCTCCCGCCCCTACTGAAACCATACAAGCCCTTGTGCCCCCGAGGGTGAAGTGCAGATTTGGCCTCTGCTGCACACTCCTGGCTTTGCTCGTAGAGAGTGGGCATATACTCCAGGGAACAGGGCAGGTCCTGCAGCCCCCTGGGAAAAACTGGGCCAGAGCCCAAACAGGAGCAGCACCATTACCCTTCCTCTCCCAAGCCTCTTCGTTCACCACTCTGACACTCTGACAGAGGACCAGCTGGAAGGGCCAAGGGGCAGGCGGGCACAAAGGCTTTTCCCTCCACTGGACAGCCAAGGAACAAGTGCTGCTTCCACTTGGACCTGAACGGCCTCAAGCTGGGGGACCTCAGGACAAGTCTCATACCTCCCCAACCCCTCAGTCTCTTCCCAGTTCCCTGGCCCACCAGGCTGCCTGGCCCACCTTTCCCAGTCCCTTGCTCTATATGTGGCAGGTGGGAGCAGGCCCCTGCCCTGAGTGGGCCCCTAAAGCAATAGCACCTTAGGCCCCCTGCCCTCTTGGTACAAGAAGCCCAGGCCCTTGCTTGGGCTTTGTGCCATTTATTCACTGTCAATAAATCTGCTCAGACCATCACAGCTGCTTCACATACTGGCTCCAGCTCCTTCCTAATCCCAAGACCCACTTCATTCCCATCCCTGCCCCTAGCATCTCTGGCTGCCAGAGTTGGTGGAGGGGTGGGGGATGGGTGTCACAGCCAGGGTGGAAACAAATGGGCCACAGTCAGTCCAGACTTTGGGGGAATGGACTCCAACCTCAGAGGGCTTAGGGTATTTCACCACTTAAGACAAGCTGGCACATGGGCAGAAAGGCTGGAGGACAACTGGGGGGAAGCTGCGGTTCTGTCCCACAATTGGAGAAAGGAACTGTGGCTACCCCAGAGGTGAGAGTAGATGTGAGGGGATTCCAACTTCGGGCTGTGTTGTTCCGGATTGTACAGGGAGTGGGTCTCTGACAGCGTGGAGACAGGGGCAGCAGCGTCATTGTACAGCGATTCCCCTGGCCTTCAGGTGAGGGGATCTGGATGGCCAGGATCTGGGGCTTTAGCCGGTGGGGGAGGTGGTGGACGCATCTGTAGGGAACACATAGATATACTGCTCATAGATACACTGCTCCAGAGTCCTTCCTTGGGCCCATCCACACCCGTTCCCTCAACCCTGCAGACAAAACCGGACCAGTTGGAATGAGCCCATGCTACACACAGTCCCCTCCAAGGCAGGACCCTTACCGGCCTGAGTCGGGGCACTGTCATGTCCAGTGGTCCAGGGCATTCTAGGGCTTTGTGTGAAAACAAGAACAACAAATCAGTCTTCAGATCTTGTGTTCAGTGCTGTATCTCCAGCACTTGGGACAACTGGCATTCTATAACTATTTGTTGAATTGACATCATGAGTCTAAGCCATAAAATTCATCCATCCATCCATCTAATCATCCATCTTACTGGACATTATGCTGCTGTGATCAAGGTACCAAAGTAAAGGAGGTGAAATAGCACCCGTACCCCCATGGATGTCAAGAACTAACAGTGAAATGCTAAGAGGCACAGTGAGTGACTTAGTGTTGTGTCCTTCAAAGTGGCCTAGGGGTGCTGGAGATGGTGGTGACCTCACCAGCTCAGAGATGGGGGCTAGGGAAGGTGGAAGTGCCTGAGGTTTTAGCGAAAATTGGCCTTTCTAAGGGAACATGATGACCCAAAGTAGGTATTTGTAGGGTTTAAGAATACTAACAGCAAAGGGTGCCTTGTGTAAGAACAAAGTGAAAGAAGCTGGTTACATTTTTAAAGTAATAACTAAGATCTAACAGCTGCTACTGGCATACACACTCCATGCTGGGCACAATACTACATATATACCCTACAGAGGTCTTAAACTCTCAGAATTCAATAAGGTTGTATGTCTCTCCTCAATAAAGGGCATAAACCAAGACCCAGACAGGTTAGATAGCCACCTGAAGTCCCATGGTTGGAAGTGATAGAATACATCTGAATGGGTCAGCCAGGTTCTGAAGGCCAAGCTACAATGGGTCTTACAATAGGGTGCTGGAGCACAGCCTAGGACACCAAGCTTCCTTTTCCTTCCCCTCTTGTTTTCCTCCCAGAACCCCCATGTCTACTCACATGCAGGCAGGATGGGTGCAGTGGGGCCATCCAAGGCTGAGGCAGGGGGCGGAGGAGAGAAGCTGGGAGGAGAAGGTGATGGCAGGGCCTGGTGGGGTGGGAGTAGGCACAGAATTATTTTTGGCAAGTAGAGGGGTGAGCAGGGAAGAGCTTCCCCAGCCTTTCCTCTCATCCCACCTCCAACTCCTATCTCACCACTGCCCAACACAGAAAGTGGCCAAATGTTTGCCTTCAGATAGATAAAACATATTTCAACCACTATGAAGTATTGAACACTTACTCTCTGAGATGTTCTGCTAGCACTCACATGCACTACAGGACCCAATCAGTCCTCACCGCCATCCCATGCGGTGGGAACTTAAATGGCTCCTGTATGAGGAGTGAGACTGAGGGTAAGCCATCTGTCCAAGATCATAGAGCCTGTTAGTGGCAGAGCACCGGCTAGAGCCCCAGTCCCTGATCCCCACTCCTATGCTCTTCCTGCTTTACTGCAGTAACAACAGCATCATACATACCTCCTGGGTGCCATAATAGTGAACCTACTGAAGTGACTGTCTTATCCCCTTGTGATGCGCAAAGGAAGCAACTCGAACAGGTTTAGTCCCTACTCAAGATCATGCGATAGATGTTTGAACTCGAATCTATCCAGAACCTCCAAGCTCCTAGGAAAGCCACCTCAATTTTCATTTTTCTGCCCAGCCAAAGGAGAAAGAGAGGCCCAAGCCATGTTGAAGGTAATCCCCAGGAAGAAAGGAACATTAAGATGAAAATGGGGTGTTAGTGTGAAAGGAAGATCAACCCAGAGATGCCTGGGGACCCAGGGAGAATGGAGCCTTACCTGCTCGGGTTCAGAGAGTTCAGATGGTCCTGGGGGGCCAAGCAGCTCCTCCACCAGGAGGGAGGGGAAGACACCAACATGGCCCCCAAATTCTCCCCTCCAGAAGCCGTCATCCACTCCATCCTGGGCCCGGGGCAGCAGGCGGATGATGGCCCCTTCAGGGAAGCTTAGCTCCTCTGCGCTCTGCCCTGTGTAGCTATACAGAGCACAGGCCAGAAACGCTGTAGAAGCCAAGGGGGCCCAGTGAGAGGGGGTAAGTGGTGGCATCCCAGGACAGGACACCCAGAGCTACAGTCCCCCCAGACTCAGGGTCTTCCAACCCCAAATTTCCTTTTCTTACCTGTGGGCTCTGCCCGTGAGGGATTATTGCTGTCACTGCCACTCTCAGGGAGGGAAAGGTCTGGGAAGTTGAGATACCGCTCGGGAACAAAGCCCACCTCGCCATGCTGGTTCCGGGCCTGCTCACCAAGAATGCAAACAGACTTGCCTTGGCAGACCCCAGCCTTGGCTCTCCTTCACTCAGCCTTCTAGCGTGGCCTGGCTCGGTCTTTGGGGACACAGAGAAGTCCCTCCCACTGCCCTCCATTCAGGGGGAAAACCTAGGGGCTCATACCCACCTTGACCCATTCGTCAGCATCTCCCTCCTCTATGACCTCCAGCCACTCACCCTCCGTGATGGTCAGCTCATCCTCACGCCCTGCCTAGGCCCCACAAGGAAGGAGTCAAGATCTGTGGGTCCCCTGCCCCAGCAGGCTAAGATCCCTACCCACATTCATACCTGATAGCCAAAGACCACATGGGCAGGGCAGGGGAGTGGCCTAGAGGTCAGGACTGGCGGGACAGGCTCCTCAAAGAGCTCCCCTGTCTCTTCGCATTCATCAAAATCCGAAAGTTCAGCATCTTCTGCCTGCAGAGGGGTGCAAAACAGACATCATTGCTAGTCCCCTCTCAAGGATGCCTTGGAGCTTCCACTACTCCACCTCACTCCTAGAGAACACCATGATCATATCTCCAGGGCGGTACTGTTCATTCAGTCACCAAGTGTGTCACAACCCAAACTCCTGCAGAGAGCAGGACAATACTCAACGCTGACAGAGTTCCGGGACCCACGAGTTTACCACATGCCAGGCATAATGCTAAGGACCTTAGGTATACTCATACTAATCTTCTAGATGATCTAGGTATGTTTTTGCACAACTACCAATCTCATTTTGTTGGTAAGGAAGCTGAGGCCCAGAGAGTTTAAGTCTCTTGGCAGAATCATGCAGCCAATAAGCAGAATGGCAACACTCAGACTACTTACAGACTGCTTCTAGTACCTCAGGGCTTTGCAACCATACCATATCCATAACACAAGTTCATGGATGACCCTCTCATGCCAGAAACTATGCAAAGAATTACATATGGATGATTTCATTTCAGCCTCACAATAACCCTTTGAATTAACTATTTTACTATTAGTTTCTTAGAGAGTCAGATCTCCCATCGACTGGAGTACACCCCACAAAAGCCTGCAACAACTGGGGTTGGGCCAGGCCAATTCTAGCAACTGGGAACTCAATCTAAGTCTCCCTTGCGAATGGCAGAGATCCAAGTACTTGAACTATCACCTGCTGCCTCCCAGGGTATACATGAGCAGGAAGTTGGACTAGAAGCAAAGCTAGGGCTCAAACCCAGGTTTTCCACTATGAGACCCAGATGTCCCAAGCATAAGTTACATTAATTACTGCAACCAACATCGACCTTCCGATTCCCATTTCATAGGGTCTGCCTTCCCTCCGAAGTAGAGCGGAAAGCAGGACTAGCTCACCGTGGGGGACAGGTCCCTCTGGGAGAGCCGAGCCTCACTGAGCCGTCGCTCCTGCTCCACCTCTTCCTGTGCCTGGGTCATGGCAGGCTTCAGCCAGCACTGCACATCCAGGCCAGCTCCTTGCAGGAGGGCCAGCCGGGCAGCACCTTTCACCTGGCTCACCTGGAATAGAGAAAAAGGGAGTTAATAGAACTTGGCCAACTCTGTCCATCCGCACGTCCCTGCCTCCATTAGGTAATGGAGGGGAAGGAAGCCCGAGCAGGTAAGAGCTCAGTGGCTGGTGCCTCACCTGTGCCCTCCGGATGTTTTCCCTCACTTCCTGTAGCCGCTGTTCTATGCTGGGCACCTCCCTCTCAGAAGCCTGCTGCCGCCTCTGCTCCAGTCTCTGCAGCACCTGGTAGAGAAGGCAGAAGATGGGGTAGGGTAGAAAACAGTGTGGGTATAACTCACTCAGAGCCTGGCACTCCTCTGGTTGCATCACATGCATTAGCTCATTTTATCTCCAAGAGGGGTGCTATTCTTGGCCCTACTTTAATGATGAAGAAACTGAAGTCCAGAGAGGTTTAGTCACTCCCACATCCAGGAACACACAATGACAGAAGAGGAGGGAAGCCCAGGTGCTTTTCACCACTGTGTCATGCTGTTGTCTTAAAAGGTCTTTCTTCCATTCCTGCCCGTAGCCCTGTGCCACCCTCAGTACTTCCACAACCCCCATCTCTCAGTCCTTGCCCGCCCATAACATCTGCCCCTCTCCCTCCACCTCACCCGATGCCCATGGTTCTGGAGCTTATAATCACGGGCAGCTCTGCTCGTCCAGCGCTGTATCTCCTTCTCCAGGCCACTCTCCCCAGCCATTTCTCCTCCTTCCCTCTCCAGGACACACACCTGCAGGGGACAGAGGTGCTGGGAACAGGATCTGAGCTTGCTCCTTCCCTCCAGTTCCCTTTTTTTTCTATCTGTCTTGCCCTCCAAAGATGAGAACAGAGAGTTGAGGGCAGGTGCTGTGGACACAGAAGAGTACCAGGAACAGGGTTGAGTAGGGGGCCACAGGTGGGGACAAGAGGACAATGCAATGACTAAAAGGCAGACTGAGGGGTGCCTCATGGATCCTGGTGGAAGGGATGTGACCTAGAGTTCAGAAATCCCCTGCCTGAGGTCTAGTAGTCACTCAGCTATCCCAGGACAAGGACAATGGGGCAGGAAGCCAAAACCACAGTCCTGTTTACACTGGGCCCAATTCCAAGCGGCAGCACACGGCCTCACCTGATCAGTGCCTGCTGGCTGAAACTGCTGGGCGGGGGTGGCAGAGAACACTCCAGGTTCCTGAAGAAACACCTTGAGATCCTGCTCCCAGTTTACCTGCCGGTTGGGAAAAGTCAGCCACTCATCATTCACTTCCTGCCCCAGCCTGTCCCCTGGGCCTCTCGGAAGAAAGAGGACAAGGTGAGAAGGACAGAGGCCAACAAGTGGTGGGGAGTCTGTGTTGCGAAAGAGCCCCTGGTGGGGGTGGTACACGGAGGGGAAGCCCTCACCTGGGCAGTTGCCTGCCCCCCATGGCGGGCTTGCTCCACGACCATCTCTGCAGCTTCCAGCTCTGTACGGCTCAGTGACATCAAGGGGTCCCGCAAGTGTTCTGACAGCTCGCTGACCAGGGCCTGGAGAGAACCCCGAGACACTGACACCAGCTTTCCCCAGGACTCTGTCTGGGTATGAGTAAGTGATGGGCATGAAGTAGGAGAAAGAGGCAAGAGCCAGGCATTATCACTGCTTCTAATAACAGGCCCTCATGTGGACACTTGGCTCAACAGTTCAAAACACACCTTCACAGACGTTATGAAGTAGGCAGAAGTGAGGTTACCCCAAGGGGATTCAGAGGGGCCTGTGCTATACAAAGCCATTTAGCCAACTAGATGCCAAATCAGAACCTCAGAGTGTAGCTTCTGCTAAGAGAAGCAGACCAGGTCCTCTGCACCTGTTGGCCTCACAGGGAGTAGGAATCAAGAGGAGGCCCATCCCTCCCTCCCCGCCATGGGGCAAGGACCACCCGGGGTTAGGACTGGCCTTGAGCAGGGCTGGCAGTTCCTCCTGGTAATAATGGTCAAGGTGGGCATTGGTTGCCACCAAATTGAGCAGGTAGTCATTGCGGGCCGCTCTCAGCTGCTGGGAGTACTGGGCTGACTGCGCAGACAGCTAGGAGGGACAAACAGGTATTGATGGGGAATCCTGGATGGCTCAAGTTCCTTTCCAGGCCAACCCAGTGCCAAACAAAAAATGGATTTTCACATTATTAACTGCTGGCTTTCTAATGTCACTACTCCAGCAGCTGATTCTGTGCACATCTGACATAAAATCTCAACTGTTTCTTACTGTGGTGTCACAGTCCCAACATGCCCTGGCCCCTGCATCCTCCTGAGCAACTTTAGTACCCGATCCCTGGCCACACTAAGACTGCAAAGCCATCCCCATCAGGTAACACACACACCCTGTCCTCTCCCTAGCATGTTCTGCCACTAGACCTTTACAAGACTGGTGGCTTCTTGACACCGGGTCACCTGTTGGAGAGGCCTTCCTTCTATACCACACCCTTCTGTCATCCTTCAACATAGCACCTTGCTGTATTTTTCCTCTTAATCTGATTATTTGCATATTTATTTGTAAGGGAACAAAAGAGAAAGAAATGATTTCTACCTTTTAGATGAAAGCAATGAGACTTGGGGAGATCTTGAAATTGACCAAGGTCACCCCTCTAGGAAGTAGGCAGATTCAACCTAGCCTCCCAAACTACTAAACTACTCTGCCCACCACTTCCCTGTCCCCCAACTCATGCCCTCAGTCCCGAACCTTGGTGCTGAGTTTCTGGAGACTGGTCCGGGAGTGAAAGATGCCATGGTCACTCCGGTTCAGCCTATGTGGGCAAGGGAAACAGCTGGAGCCAAGCCGGATTCTGGTGCCTAGCTTTACCTCTGCACTTGTCCCCATTCCCCCCGACTTGAGGCCTCCTGATTCCCACCTGGCCTGGACATCAGCCGCCTTCTCCTGGGCCAAGGCCCACACACGCTCCCGCTGCCCATACAGCTTCCGACTACGGCTCAGCTCCCGGACAGACTGCAGCACCTCAGCCTGTGCCCTCTGAAGGGTCTCTGTCCCCTAGCAGCAGGACGAGAGGGACACACAGAATCCTGAAGCACACCACTGGCAGCTCCATGCCAGCTCTTCCTCACCCCCAGCCACAGAGCCATACCTTCCTAAGCACCTGCTCCTTGGCACTCCGCCCTGTGCCCCCCGCTAGGTCACGGTATCGGTCGGACGCCTGGAGCCGGGTTTGGCCCCCAGCCACGGTAGCATCGAGCAGGCAGCGCCAGGCACCAAACACTGTCCTGCCCCTCCCCAGAAAAGGTCTGTGTTGAGGAGGAAAGCACTCCACTGCTTCCTGAGACCACCCCCTCCAACACCATGGGAGACAGCGAGCTTCCCCTTCCCCCTCGGCTGAGAGCCCATCTATCGATCTGCCCATTAGCTCGGCCACAAGGATCACTCATGCCCTCCACCCCCACCCACAGTGTCCTTGCTGGGTCAGCTCATCTCCTGCTGCTGTGTCAGCTCTACCTGCAGCTCGTGAGCCCTGCCCCTCAACCAGCCTTCACCCCCACAGGTTCCTGGGACCAAGCTCCCCACCACTTTTTGGCCTTCCCCCCCAAACTGGGGCCCTCATGCTCCATGAGACCCACCTGCTGTCTGTGTCCCCACTCCGGTGCCCTTCCCGTTTCAGGAATGGCCCAGCCAGTTTCTGGAGTGCCTGGAGAGAAAGCCAGTATGCACCCTCACCCACCCTCACCCACTCCAGCGGGAGAACATGGGAACACAATGCCACTCCCACTCACCAGATGCACAGCATATACCACTTGCTTTGCAGAATGCCTTACATTCACTAACTTAATTCTAACAACTACTTCTATGTAGAGATCAGGTACAATATTATACCCATTTTAGAGAGAACAAAACTGAGGCCAAGAAAGGTTAACTTACTCATCCCAGGTCATGCAGCTAAGGAGAACAGGAGGTATTTGACACAGGGCTGCCTGACTTTAGGCATTTGCTCTGAGCCACAACAGAGGTGTGTGTGAAGAGGCCCTGCTGGGATGTTCAGGGGTCAGAACAACAGGGGAGGCACGGAGGAAGGCATCCCATACCTGCCCATACTCTCGTTCAATGGCTGCCCTCTGCTTGCTGTAGGATCTGTGGAGATTGGGGTGGAGCTGGGTTACTGTTTGGTCCTGTTCTCTCCCTTCTCCATGCTGTCCTCCACCTGGGCAGGGGGAAGAGGGATCCAGCCCCAACGTGTGATTAAACCCAGGAGGGACCAGGGCAGCCTGAGTCCTTGAGATCACCTCCACGGGCAGTGGCAACTCAGGACAGCCTCACCTCATCACTCAGAGGCCCAGCAGGATCCTCCCTACCGTGGAAGGGCCATTTACGGGCTTGGAGCTGAGCATGGGTGGAGGTCTGGGTACAGTGCCTGCCACCTGCCAACAGGTCTGGAAGAGGGAAGGGGAGTCTGTCCTAAGCTTGACTGGGGTGGGGAAGTGGAGTCCAGTGGTTGGCGGGAGGGTCCCTGTGTTTATATGAGCGGGAGGGGGCTTGCAGAGGCAAGCCTGAGGCAAGAGGCCGCCCTTAACAAGCAGGTTCCCGCCCTTGTCCTCCATCCCGAGTAGATGTGTGTTATGGCAGAAGTGGCAAAGAAGGGGTGAGTACTGGAAGGGGTAAAGGGATACCTGATGTCCTCCAACAGATCTGCCTCCCTCTGCTGCCGAGTCTGAAGGATGCTCAGTTGTTCCAGGAAGCGAAGCTTCACCTCCTGGGCCGGCTTCACCTGTCCGGGTTAAAGGCAGGACGGGGACCCTGGATGCGGAGATGTTACAAACACCCCGCGTAGGGCACGGAGAGGGGGCGGGGCAGAGGGGCCGTGCCCTCGGTAGCTGCTGGGTTGAGCTTCGTGACCCCCTTCCCACACCGGCTCCAATGTCGGCTGGACCTTTTCTCTCCCCAAGCCCTCCAGAAGCCCCCAATCCCGGCCCAAGCTTACTTTTCGGGGCGGCGGCTGCATCCTCGCTCCAGCCCTAGCAGCCAGCGTCTCGACTCCGGAACTCGAGCGGGCTCCGCCCACCGCCAAACCCCGCCCCAGAAAGGCCGGTTCCGCCCTCGCCCCGCCCACGTCTGCGCGCGCCAGCCCCAGGGGCCGCAAAGGAACCAAAACCCAGCGATGGCTGCGAATCCCCCGGAAGGGTCCGGGCCGCGGGGCGGACGCTGCGTCCGCTGGGAGGTGGGAACTCCGGGCTTCGGAGTCAAGACGCCTGGGTTCTATTTCTAGGACAATTACTGATCCAGCCTGTAATTATTTCTCATCGTTCATTTACATATGCAGATACGAGTCCTTGCGCCTACGGGAAGGAATGGCGGGCAACTCCGTGTGTGACCGGGGAAACTGAGTCACTGAACACCGAGTGATGACGGAAGGAGATAGGGCTCGTCCCAGACCTTTTCCCAATTCCCGCTCAACTGGAAAAGCCAGCGTGAGCGGCGTGAGAAAGACGCCCCCGCGAGGAAGGAACCAGGCCCAGGAGAAAGAAAAAACAGCGACGCAAAAAAAACTACAAGGTGCCAGCGAGTCGTGAGCTGGGCCGCGCACGTGAGGCTCGACAGCACAGAAAACCCTATCACCTATGGGATCTTGCCTTCAGCTCTGCACCTCCAGGAACTGCCAGCCCTGGTGCCACTGGAGGCCTCCCCTTTCATCCTGTACACCTAGGCTCCCTGTCCCACACCATTGTTCCCACACCCCCACATAGCTGGCTCCAAACTCACACAGGAGAGCCTACCCACTGTCGCCACTTCCTGTCTATCCAACGGACACCTCAACCCAATCCTCCCCTAGCTGGTTTTAGGGTTCTCTAAACAACACCTTACCTCTTGGTCAGTAGGAAACTGGGATAGTGTTCCTTCTCCACCCCCTTTCACTGCATCAGCAAGTCCTGCGGGTTCTATTTTTTAATTTCCAAGATCCTCCCTTCCTCCCATCCCCAGTGTCAGTCTCCCATGCTGCTAGCTGGTATCCTTGCATGAAGTGCCCCCCCGCCAACCCACTGTTCACACACCACCCAACAGGCCTATTTTTTTCCAAAAGGGAAAAAGATGTCATTTTTCCACTTAGAACTCAGTTGATTCAGAATAAATTCAATGGTCTGAAATCCAAATCAAAGCCATGACCTAGGAGACTGTGCATGACCCAGCCCCCACTGACATTTCCCACATCAGGAGCATTCTATTCTGTGCCCACTGCCTGGGCCCCACTTGCCCCAGCCTTCCTGCTCCCCCCATTGGCAGGGAAGCCCCTCCTCACAGCAAAGCCTTCTCCCAGCCCTCCACTTGTCCTGCTCAAGCCCACTGCTTTGTTTAAAAGATCTGAAAGTCAGAGGTACAGACCATAAGGGGCCTTCCATCTACTCATCCACTTCCTAGGTGGCCAGGACCAGGCCAGGCTGAGGCCAGGAACTTCATCTGGGTCTCCCACATGAGTAGCAGGGACACAAACACACAGACCACGTTCTGCTACTTTCCCCAGGCTATTAGTGAGGACACTGGATTCGAAATGGAACAGGCGAGATACAGACTGGTGACCACAATGGAAAACGATACCTCAGGCAGTGGTTTTGCCAGCTGTGCCACAAGCCAGCCATACTTCGGTTGTTTCCTCAACACATGAGCTTGTTGTCCGTCTGATTTTTTATTTCCTATTTTCCACTTCCCCTCTACAGTGGAGGATCCCCAAGAGCCGGGACCCCATTCAACCTGGCCACAGTTAGGTGCTCACTGCTCATTGCTTGAATGAATGAACACAAGCACAGCAGCCTCCTGGTTCCAAGATTTATTAATAGTGACCCATCCTTTTTTGGCTCCCCTTTGCCCCAGCTCCAAACCCCAATCAATTGCCCTACGCCAGGGCTTCAGCACAGTCCCAGAACGTAGGAAGTGGGGTAGTAAAGCTTTGGGCATCATCCAGGCTGCTGGCTTCCAAACCTTGTAGTAGTAGAACCCTATGTATCAAATCTATAAGCCAGGAGCTGTTCTTAGTGAGGAAATTATAATAAAACTTTCATGTTCAATTTTCTCCTGATTTCATGATACAAATGGGCTGCAGCCCAGAAATGGGCCATGACCTGCCCTGGCACACACAGCCTCCAGGGCCCTCCATCCAGTGCCCCTTGCACAGCACCACACTGGGTCCTGGGTCTCCCCTTCCAGGGCCAATGAAGCTCCCTGTGGGGTCTGCCCTGCTGGCAGCACGGGTCTCTTGGGCACATGCCCTCAGATTGCTGATCCTTGGGTCATGTGAAGGGCTGGCTGGAGGGAGGGCTGGAAGGGCAGGGCGAGTGCATGGGGAAGCCCGGCGTCTGTGTTGGAGGGCTGACAGGACTGGAGGCCTGGGGGCTGGATGGTTGGGAAGCACTTCTCAGGCACGCAGTGGTGTCCCCCTTCCTCAGGATGAGATTGTTGAGCTCTTGGAGCAGCTGCTCCTCCAGGGATCCCCGGGCCAGGGGATTGCTCTTGGCAGGGGGGCCTGGTGGGGGGTCAGGGGGCCTCTCCTCCTGGCCCAGGGTGCTCGCTTTAGAGAGAGGGGGTTGCTCAAAGGACCTCTGGCTGGCGAGAGGGGTCTCTGGTATGGCCATCCACTCTCGTGTGCTGGAGAGGGAGGTAGAAGTGTCCATGGTCAGCTCGGGGTAGGCGCCAACTTCCTCATATACTGGCTCCTCATATACAGGCTCCTCCTCTTCCTCCTGCTCCTCCACAGACCCCTGCGATGACTTCATTGGCTGGACAGGAGGAGGCAGGTGCTGAGTTAGTGACTCACATTTCTCAAGCCCTTCCTCCTGACCAGACACTACCAAGCCCTTGGCATGCATGACAGAGCCACCCTGTGCCATGGGTCACACTGCAGGTGAGTGCAGCAAGGTGCAGATTGATTAAGTAAGTTGCCCAAGATCATACAGTGATAAAGCCAGAGCTCATCTGATGACTTTGAACTGCGCTCACCTAACCACTTTCCTTCTACTTCTCACATGCTGTAACCACATCCTACCACATGTCATTTTTCTTCTTTCTACCCTCCCATCCCCCACATACACACACATACACAGGCTGCAGGACTGCATCAGGACACAGAGCTGCACCAGGGACAGAGGACACAGGCTCGTAGCTGGAGCAGGCACAGTACTCACAAAGAACATGGACAGGGTCCTCCGGTTGTGCAATCGCCGCTAAGAACAGGTGGGATGGGGATGAAGGGAGTGAGAGACACAGAGACACAGTGAGGTCTTGCAAGAGGCGGTGGGGGTGGAGGGGAGGGATACCGCGAGCAGAGGCAGTGGGCTGACAGGTGCAGCACTCCCTCCTGTAGCACGGCAAGGGGAAACACAGGGGTCAGGTGGGGGCTGGAGCAGGCCATGAGGTCTCACCAGGGTCTGATTGGCAGAGAGGAGGGTGGCTCCACTGTCATCCCCGCGGATGGGCAGCAAGGGCATCGTGCCAAACTTCTGACGGGCAAGTTCAGAGGATGATCGGCGTCGTAAGACCACTGGCTGCTGATCATCATACTGGCAAGAGGGTGAGAGGAGGTCACCAGTGTGCATGGAAGGCACTGAGGGGTACACAGCTGTGTCCTAGGGCTAGCCCACGGACCCAGTCCTAGGACGTTTCCTTCCCCTCACCTGGGCCTTAAGGATGCTGGTGGTCCAGTCCCACATCTCATCCTCATCAGTGCATGACAGGTAGCTGCAAGTGACAGAGAAGGCAGGCCAGAGTTGGGTCACGGCTGTCAGGATGGAAGAGGGATGGGCAGAAGAGCAGTTAGGGTGCAGAGCTGGGCCAGAGGAGAAGCGAAGCCGAGAGGTACTCACAGGTGCATCTTCTCCAGTATCAACGTGAAGCCCCACCTGGAAGGCAAAGACCAGTGATGTGACCAGAAATGCCCTGGGAACGGGTGGGTGGTGGTGGCAGGAAGGCCCCAGCCGTGTGGCCTAGCTAAGAACACTCACGGGGTTGGGGGCTTTAACTTCTTGCGGATTCCCAGGTAGACCTTGGCACCTTCCAGAGGCCACTCCCGTTCTGGTTTAGAGCTCTGAGAACAGGAATGGAGTTAGTGAGGTTGAAAGGTGAGAGCAGACAGTAGTGGTGAGTGAGGCCAAGAAGTCATGAGAGCACTAGTAGGCAATGGCAGGGACAGAGAGGTCATGATCAGAGAAACAATGACACAGCAGTGGGAGGCAGAGGGCTCCTTCCCCACAGCAGCAAGGCACACCCTGCCCCTCCAGCGTCAGGGCTTCACCTTCTTCTCCTTGAGTAGCAGCAGGCAGTGGTCACGCAGCAGGAAGAACCTCTCCTGGAAGCGGCTCCCCAGCAAGCGGGGCGGCTCCTCACGACACCGCAGCAGCCCCACGCGTGGGGTCTCACGCCGGATACCTAGGTGCAGACAGGTGATACTAGGTGTACACACCTGGGAGGGCAAGCCTGGAGGCCACGGCGTTGGGGAAGGAGGCTTACCTGTGAACAGGCAGCTGGCCCGGGCCAAGGGGACTTTTCTCAAGAGCAGGGATGCTGAGCAGGGCTCCGGGAGCTGGCACCATTGCAGGGCCTGCTCTAGGACCTTCTCTTTGGGGTGCAGTGGCCGCTCTGAAGGGGCAATGTGGGAGACAGGTACTAGCCATAATATCCCTCCAAAGCCTACAGCCCCCAACTCATGTCCTGGTAGTCATGCATTCATCCATCCAACTAGCCATGCAGTCACAGATGTTGTAGTGCTCTGTGCCAGGTACTGTGCCAGCACTGCAATCAGTAGTGAGCGTCAATACTCCTGGACTGCCTTCAGAAAGCCCACAGCTGAGTGAGGGAGCAGACCGTGAGCAGGTGTGTAAGCAAAACCACTGCACCCTGACAGATGCTTTAGAAAAAAGCAGTAAGCTGAGAGCCACAGGGCAACCACTGAGATGGGGTCACCAGGAAAGGCCTTTCAGAAGTAGCATCCAAAGTATGGGCCTGCAAGTTCTTAGGGATTAGGAAGAAGAAACTGTGTCTAAGATCAGGAGACAGCTTTCAAGCATGATGAGCTATGAGAACAGAGGCCCCGAATCAGGAAAGATGTATTTGGGGAATGAAACTGCCGACATGGCTATAGCAGGGATGACAGATAAGAGAACCAGTGATGGGAGATGAGGTCTGAAAAATTAGCTCAGGGTCTCATGAGTTCTGATAAGGAATTTCAAGTTCAGTGAGAAGTCACTTGAGCTTAGAAGACAGGTCTAGGTCAAAAAAAAAACTTCAGCATTAACGGCATCAAAAACCACAAACAAGAATGGATGACTTGAGCCTCAGAGAAATGTAAAGAAGGGAAAGGGGCCCAGAATCATGCCCTGGCTCCTGCCATCATTTTGGAATCTCCTTTAAAGCAAAAAGCAAATCCAGAATTTGGAGGCTCACTAAAGCTGAAAGGAGGGGTGGGTCAACCAGGTTGAATGTCCCCTCACATGAATGATTTGGATAAACAGAATGTCCACTGTATGTGAGGTCACTGAAGACCTTAATGACACCACCCCCTACACATGCATGCATACTGGTCACACTCACCAAGTTCCCCATGTTCGAGAATCTCAAATGTCACCCAGAGGTCTGTGCCAGCTGCTGTCCCCCGCATCTCCAGCACCTGGTTGGTCAGCTCCTCAGCAGTCAGTGTTGGGGACACCTGGGTCAGGACAAGAGCAGAGCATCCCTGCGGGTCAGGCCATTGCCCCTGCCCCCACCACGGTCCCATCATTCCCCAGCCTCCTGAGGACTGACCTTCAGGGTTACACAGTTGTCTGGGAGCTGCTGTTCTATGTAGACCTCCATGATGAGGTCTCCAGCCTGGGACAGCTGTGAAGATGTGGAAAGAAGTTGGGAAGACACAGAAAGGATACAGAGAAACTGGAGTTAGAAGTACCTCATAACAGCCTGCTCTCACAAAGGTCTCCCAATTCCTCACTATCCCCTCTCCAGCTGCCACCAACGTCACTCAGGCCCTTGAAAGGGAGAACTCCAGGAGCAGTGTGAAAATTTACACAAAATGAAGTCATTCTTGTTGTTCTCCACTGGATGTGGGGTTGAAAGGCTCACAGCAATGAAAGAGGACCCACTTAGGACATGGACGTCTACCCCAAGAAGTACCTCACTGACTCACTCTAACTAGGACCCTGCCCTATTACTTTGCAATTGACGATCTATTTGTCAACCATGACCTTAAAACCAGCATTACACATTAACCACATAAACCAGAGTTTGCCAGTTCCTGTAAGCACCAAAAATGCCCATGGCCTTTCTCTGAAAATAACTTGGGTATGTTTTTCTGTCCTGATAACCCTTCACCCCCTTCCTTTGTTCTCCAGACATGCCAGAGGCCTCTCAGTGTGTGTGCATGTCCTGGATTGCAGCCCATTCTTAGTTTATTCTCAAATAGAAGTTCCTTTGTCAGAGACTCACTCTGTACTTTTGACTTCGACAGGTAGAAGTGCGTCTGTAGGCTGTGTACAGCATAGTGCGGTGGCTGGAGCACAGGACTGCCATCAGACAACCTGGCTTTGGCAACTCTCACTACACATACTGCAACCTTGAATAACTGACCCTCTGAGGCTTAGCTTATGTAAAAAACAATCAGACTACATACTTCATGGACTTGTGAAACACTAAAAATTGAGATCAGAGGTGCCTGGGATATAGCAAGTCTCTGCTAATATTTGCATTGTATTTATTATTATTCTCACTGTTTGCTGACTTGACCAACTCTTCCTTGGGTCACTAACAGAAGTGAGGTGTTGCTAATGGTACACCATCTTATAATAAAAATAAAACATTATAATAAAAGATAGTAACAATTCCCCAAAGAGATTCCCTCCTTGGGTTTCCCCTTTCTCCCAGAGAGCTGAGGGCCAGTGGGCAGGAAGGGTGGGCTGAAAAACTTCCCCAGCTGGGTAGGTCAGCTTCCCATTTGGAGGTCCCCTCATGTCATCAGACAGGATCCGTTACCTGCACATCCTTCCAGGTGGTGATAAGATTGACCTCCAAGTCAATCTGAGCTACCTGGTCAGAATCGATCTGTGAAAGAGCCAAGACAAAGTGTCAGGGTTGAAGTGGTGCTGGGAAAGGAGATGTACAGGGCAGATCTCAAGGCTGGGGCCCTGGGGAAGAGGACTGGAAGCCTGCAGAGCTAAGAACCAATGGGGTAAATGGGTTGGCAATGTGGGTGTGCGAGAAAGTGGCCCAGAGTTCTGTGAGGTGGCTCCTGATGCAGTCACTTGAGGGCTTGGCAGGGCTTGCTGGGATAGGCCCTGAGTCCTACAGGGGCAGGGAAAAGGGACTGCAAGCAGGGAGAGGGGTCAGGAGAGCCTTACATCAAAGACACAGACGTAGCCATCGATGAGTTCCTGCAGCACCCGCACCTCGTGCTCCCCACGCCCATCTGTCTGGAATACACTGGGCGCAAAGAGCAGGGCCAGGTTCCGGGTGCACATCTGGTTTAAGGCCGCACACTTCTGTACCCTGCAGAGGGATCACTAGGGTCATGAGAATGCAGTTTATATATTTCTGTCATCCATTCATTCAGTAGATACTTATTGGGCCCCCTACTGTATGCCAGCTCCAGTGCTAAAGGACTCGAGGAGCCCAGGGATGATAAACACAGCAGGGAGCAGAATACTTCTTACATAAAGGGACAGACAGTATTTTAGCTTTCCAGGTCATACAGTCTCCACCTTAGCTCCTACGGTGGCACAAAAGGGATCACAGGGGCCCAGCACAATGGCCTAGCGGCTAAAGTCCTCGCCTTGAATGCGCCGGGATCCCATATGGGCGCCAGTTCTAACCCCGGCAGCTCCACTTCCCATCCAGCTCCCTGCTTGTGGCCTGGGAAAGCAGTCAAGGACAGCCCAAAGCCTTGGGACCCTGCACCCGCGTGGGATATCCGGAAAAAGTTCCTGGATCCTGACTTCCGATCGGCATAGCGTCAGCCGTTGTGCTCACTTGGGGAGTGAATCATTAGACAGAGGATCTTCCTCTCTGTCTCTCCTCCTCTCTATATCTGACTTTCCAATAAATAAATAAATCTTTTTTTTAAAAAAAAAAAAGGGGGGGGGCGGATCACAGCAAACATGTAAGGGGATGGGTAGGGCTTTATACTTTATGTATAAAAGCTTATTTACAACAACAGGGGACGGACTGGAATTGGCCCACATGCATGTAGTTGGTCACTCTCGGTATAACACAGTTAGACATGCCAAGACACATACCCCCAAAACACAGGCAAAGGGGCAAAGGTAGATCTGCATCTTATTTATCTTCACATGTCTAACATCCATCCCTTTCCCTGACATAAAAATAAAAACAAAAAAAAATTAGCATTGATCACTAATTCTTTCTGAAGGCCTAGAGGCCTACAGCATGCCAGGTGCTAAAAGACTTTCAAAGGAATTATCTCACCGAATTTGCACATAACCCATGAGGTGAATACTATTCGTGACATAATCTTCCTTTCAGAAAGGAGGAAAATGGAGCTCAGAGAGAAACAAATGCTGGACCCAAAGTGACATGGCTAAGATAAAGGAGCCAGGATGAAGCCCGGCCCTAAATCCGGTCTCTGAACCTTTATGCTATGACTCCCTCACACCACAACTTTGTGGCATGCAGAAAGCAAGGAGAGCGTGGGGTCAGCCTGAGGGGATGGAAGGTCAGGGGAGGAATCTGCAGGGGTCTGGCCATGCTCACCGGTAGAGATGCCCAATGAGGGTGGCCAGAGTGCGGCGGTTGACCCGTGGCAGGCAGCTGATTACTTCTTTGTATTTCTCCAGACGTTGGTTCTTCTGGGGCAGCTCTGGGGAGGGAAGGAGAGGGGTTGGAAAGGATTCAGGAAGAGATAGTAGGAGGCTGGTGGGGGGGGGGAGGGAGGCTTAGAGAAACAAACCCAGGGCTGATGTGCCTCTCCCTTACCCATCTCCCCCTGGGCCAAGTCCCTTGACCATCCTCCTGTGTGGAGGGTTAGGGGTTGGGAATACCAGGACAAGGCTACCTAATTCGAGAATGCCTTGGGGATATTAGGGATCAAGAGAGATCTCAGGTTTGCAGGGATTTGGGGTACCGGCAGCTTCCCTCCAGCGAGGCAGCAACCGTGCACAGGTCACAGGGTCATCGAGCTCCCGAAAGAACCGTTTGAGCGTGTCGGTGACATCCTCCACAAAGTGTTCCCCTGGCCGCAGCTTCACAGACCGGGCATCCCTCCGGAACTCGGCCAGGAGCCGCAGGCTGCGGGCACGGGCACCTCCTTTCCGGTATACACCCTCCAGCCGGAGCCCTGCAAAAAACCAGCCCTGTCTGCTCACCTAGTGCCAAGATGAGCCCCCAGCAGGCAGTCTGCGATCCCCTGCATGCTCTGTGGCTGCTGGAGGTAGGGAGTGCTGCAGAGTCAGGGAGGAGGAAATGTGCACGCCCAGGTCTCTGCTGGAGTCCTCACTCTCAGTAACCTTGCACCCCAGCAAGCTGTACCCCAATGCACATTGCATTCTTAAACAGTATGTTCTGAAGTCACATTACCGTTGAACCTCATATCTGCAGATGTTTGCCCAAGTCACTAAAATTCATTTGTAACCACTAACCTCCCCACCCTTGCCTGATCAGTAAGTCTTCCCTCAGCGTCCACATGGCATTGGTTATAGAACACTCTCCCTACCCCACAGGTACCCACGTCGCTTATATAAAATGGTATGGTATTTGCATATAGCTGTACACATGTGTCTGTATATGTATATTTTTAATAATTTTAGATTATTCATAATACATAATATAACATAAATGACATCTAAATTGTTGATACTGTATTGCTTACAGAACAATGACAAGGAGTACAAATCTGCATGAGGCACTTTCAGCACAGTGGTTTGTCGCTGCTCAGAGTGCCTGAGGTGCCTTAAGGCCCAGGCCTTCTGCTTCTGATCCAGCTTGCGGTCAGTGCACTGGAAGGCAGCAGGTGGTGGTCCATGGACTTGGATCACTGCCTCCCAAGCAAGAAACCTGGACTGAGCTAGATTCTTGGTCTCAGTGTAGCTCAGCCCCAGCTATTGCAGCTACTTGGAAAGTAAGCCTGTGGATGGAAGATCTCCCTCTCTCTGCCTTTCAAATAAAATGAAAATAAATAGAAAATTTGGATATACTTTCCCCTATTTGAATATCTTCTATGAAGAATCTAAGGATGGAGCGTTAGTTAGACTTCTGACCCTTCCCCACCCACCTGCAGGCCCATGCCGACACAGAGAGAGAAAAACAGTTTGAGCTCCCTCCTCACTCCCCTCCTTCCCAGCCAGCCACCAGTGACTGAGGGCATGTTTCTGCTAAGGTCTTCTATTGTAAACAGTGACATTCTGGTATACACAGAGCCACATATTTCACATTTTTGTGCTCTTTGCTGATGAGTGCACTGTTTTAAAACCCTGGCCCAGTGCAATGCCAAAATACTGCCTAGTCTTCCTCAGTTGTATGAGGCAGTTGTATAGTGTTTTACAGAGAAAATCCATGCATGAGGCAAGCCTGGCTCAGGCATGAGCTACAGCGACACAACCTTGAAGTCAGCACTGAAGAATCAACCAAATGTACGGAATAGGCTGTCTTTACACAGCCACAGAAAATAAGGCTTGTGCGTATTGCTCGGTTGATGAAACTGTAACAAGAGGTTCATGGGGAACAACTGAAGCCTGTATTTCCCCTGCAGCAGCCATTCAGTATTCCCGAAGCACCTGCTGAGACTTTGACAGCACAACTACTGTGAACTGACAGGCTTTCTCCCCCACTAGTCTATGAACTGCGTGTGGTACTTCCCCTGTACATTGTACACTGCTGTCTCCCTGGCATGTGGTTCCCAGTACCATCTCAACAAGTATCTGCTGAAAGAACAAGGGTGGAGTGGGGCGCTCAGAGGGCAGATTCTGATGTCCACGCCGCACCTCCAGGGCTCCTCACTACGCCGCTTAGTGCACGAAAGAGAAGGAGCTATCATGTGGGCAGAGTCCCTGAATGTGGCCACTGCTGCCAGGTGGAGAATGTCTGAAGCTTCTGGCCATTCACTGTTAAGTACCAACCTATGTGTTGGCTCACAGGGGTATCTTCCTCCACCTTCACCATCCTCCTTCGTTTTTCTGTGAATTTCCCTTCCCAAGAGGATTTGCAGGGTAGACAGGTTCTATTGGGTCTTTGGAGAACATAACTGAGGCCAGAAGCCCACAAAGAATTCTGGAAACCACCTGCATGGCTGACCCTTGCCTCTCCCAGGGGAGTAACTCAGCTCAGGTCATTGCTCTGCATGCTCAGTCCTATCTGCCCATGCCCCAGTGACCGCTCCCGCTGCCAGGCCCTATGCTCCATGTGTGACATGCATTATTTCCTATCCTGAGAAATGAGTACTCTGAGCCCCATTTCATAGACAGACAAACTGAGGCTCAGGAAAGCAAATCCATTTGCCCACAGTCAGACTGCCAGCAGGTGCTATCAGACTGCAGTCTCTGAAGGGAAAGCTCCTCCAGCCACCTGCCCCTGCCCCTCCAGCCCTCAGGAACGGCACACATACAGTCTCCATTCCCCACCCTTCCCACCAGCTCAGCATCAGCCAGTGCCTACTCACCATGTTGGGTGACAAAACTGATGCAGGCATCCACGATGATGGGGATGTCACCCCGGCTCATCTGCTGCTCCTGCAACCCTGTGCCACCCCCACCAGCTGCTCCGCCAATGGCTGCGTTCCATGCTGCAAAGTCCAGTCGGCCCTCTCCCTGCAGATACAGGGTCCTGAGACCCAAGAGTCTGAGTCACAGTGAGCTCCAGGGCTGTACTGGGATAGGGGACCCAGGAGCACAGGAATCAGACTTCCCAGAGACACCAGCAGGGGGCAGCAGCACACTTCCCAGATGGTCCCTCAGCTGGGCGCTCAGCTTTAGGGAAGTGAATGGCTACTGGTGGATTCCAGAAAGGAGGGCTCAGGATCAGGACAAGTGTGCAACATTTACCTGCCTGTCTCCACTAGGACCAAATGCTCTTTCTTGTCTGGAGTGTCTGCTGCAGGGACCATACCTATGGGAATCATTGGGCATCGTTATGATCTGCATCACAGTGACAACTTGGGCACAAAGGCCTAAGGTCCACAGCTGTCAGGCTAGAAGCCTCTCCCTGCCAACAAATGCTCAGTGAAACCTACACTCACTGGAAAGATGGTACAGCACCCAGAGGTGGTGCATCCTGCCTCGGTCACAAAATTCAAACCCAGGCCACGTTTCCCTAAAGTCCTATATCGCTATCTGACTTCCTTCCTCTTTCAGGAGAAAGCAGATCAGTGACAGCACTCAATCACCTTCCCCGCCAAGTCGGCGACGCCAAGTATCACTAACAGCAGTAGCACTGGTAACACCTAGCAGGTGCTGAGCACTTACAAGATGCCTCCTGCAGGCTCAGTGTTGAGTGTTATACCTGCACTACCTCATTTAGACCTCAATAAACCACTCTGAGGAATGGCTTATTATTGTACCCACTTTAAAGCTGAGCAAACTGAGGCACACCGAGGTTAAATAACTTGCCCAAGGGCACACAGCTAGGACATGATACAGTGTAGAGTCCACATCTGGTGAGTCTGCCTACAGTGCTTATACCTAAAGTGACAGTATGTTAGTTTCCCAAAGGGACCTTCAAATGAAAAAGGTCCACTCCTGCCCACGCCTATGATTATCCTTTATCCCCGCCCCCATCCCTACTCACTGATCTCCTGTAGCCGCCGGAGATGCACCATGTCCTCAGGGGCTGGGGGCCCAGGGCCCGGCGCTGGACACAGGAAGAGGTGGTCACCACGAAGGAGGCCAAATCCTGCCAGCCAGAGGCCAGAGGCCAAGGCCGTGTGGGAGGGGGAGCGCAGCCAGAGGCGGCCCAGCCGCAGCAGACCCGGGCCCAGCAGCTGGTGACAGCTCAGCGGGGAGAACCACTGCAGAGGAACACAGGGGCCAGGAGAATAGGAGGGGAGATACAAGGTGCAGGAGTGGGGATACTGAGAGAGAGCAGAAGGCAAGGAAGAGCGGCAGGCGGAGGGGCAGAGGGCACAGGCAAGGCCTGAGGAGGAGATTGGGAGAAGTCCCACTCGGTGTGTTCTTTGGGCAGCCTTGGGTCCATAACTGGGGCGTGGTACATTATACCCGGGCAACCCCCGCATCCCAGGGAAGGGGAGCTGGGGAGAGGCCTCGCAGAGGAAGGGGCACCTCAGGTGGACTCCAAAGCTGCATTTGTCTCACATCACCCACTGCAAGGTGCCCAGTTTTGTCCATTTCTCTTTTTATAAATTATTTTAAAGATTTTTTTAACTGGAAATTAGAGAGAAGGAGAATAGGAGAGAACAGGAGGAGAAGAGGAAGATCTTCTGTCCTATGATCCACTCCCCAGGTGACCACAGTGACCGGAGCTGAGCCAATCCAAAGCTAAGAGCCCAGATCCTCTTCCGGATCTCCTATGCAGGTGCAGGATCCCAAGACTTGGGGCCATCCTCTTTTGCTTTCCCAGGGGAACTGGATGGGAAGTAGAGTACCTGGCACATAAACTGGCACCCATTTGGGATCCCAGCACTTATAAGGGGAAGATTTAGTCATTGAGTCATCTAGCCGGGTCTCATTCCTTTTTCTTTTTTAAATTCCAATCATTCACTAACGAATGCCTTCATTTATAATCCTAAACACCACCTGCTGGACTCCTTCCTAATGAGCCTAGAAAAGCAGCAGAGGGTGGCCAAGTGCTTAGGCCCCTGTATCCATGTGGGATACCCAGATGAAGCTCCTGAGTTAAGCCTGACCTAGCCTGGCTGCTGGCAGGAAGGAATCCAGCAGATGGAAGATCTCTGTCTTTCCCTGGGTCTCTGTTAACTCTGTCCTTCAAATAAGCAAATAGAACTTAAAAGATAATAATAAAAAATAAATGTAAAAACCTGGAAAACTGAATCAATAAAGCTACACAAGCTCCTGGGTTTTCTAATTAGAATCAACACATACACTGACCCTGCCAAATGGTTGTAGAAGATTCCAGATGCTTCAGTTCTGTGCTTACCCTGCTATGGACCATAACAAAGAGCCCCCGGGACCAGTGTGGAGTGCCAGACCTGTGTAGCACTTGAGGTCGTTCTGGGAGAACTCTGGGTCATTCTGGGACCCAGCTGGGAGGGCCACAGGCAAGCCCTGAGAGGGCAGGAGGCCAGCCATCGGCGTGAGGCTCGCAGGACAGCCGCAGCAAGCACTCCTAGGTGAGGAGTGGCACATGTCGCAGAGATGGCCCAGAGAAGCCAGAAGATGCTGACACTCTTGCTCCCCAGCAAATGAGAAGCCTGTAGGGCTGGTGGGGCTCAGCTCAGCAGAGCAAGGGCAGAGGAAGGCAGCCATAAGGGGTTAAAGAGGAACTGCAGCCTGCACACGACTTTGACTTTCTGAGAAGTTGTCAGAAGGGGAAGGAGGGCACAGGGTGAAAAGTTGAAGGTGGAGCATAGCCTGGGGAGAAGCTGCCGTCATCGGCATCGTCATCCTCACCACCACCATCATTATCCACACCCACACAAGGAGGGAGGGCTCGTTGTGGGGACCACACACGTCACTCCACCCTCCCCTTTTACGCCCACTCTACAGACTGGGAGGGGCCCTTGGGTTGTGAGTTGTAGGACTGAGTTCCCACGACAGCAGACCCCAGGGCCTGAACCTTTCACTGGGGAGTGAGGGGGCTGCAAAATCCAGGAATCTAACAATTTAGACATCCATCGGAAGGCAGCTTTGCCTCAGGGCCTGTTGGGGAACCAGGGCACGGGAAGGAGGGCAGCAGGAGTCAGCGGAAAGGGCCCACACCAGAAGCTCACAAGGTAGAGGCCTGAGTCTGCTTCCTGAGCTTTGCTGCCTGCTAACTCTGTGACTCCCTAACCTTTGAGACATCAATTTCCTGTGCAAGACATCAATAACCCTAACCTCTGGGAGCTATTGGGAAAATTCAACAAGACAGAGCATGGGCAAGGACTAACACAGAGTCCAGCAGGAAACCTCAGCCAATAGCCAAGAGGTAGGAGCCATGGCAGGTAGGGACAGGGCAGCCATGAGCCGTAGTGGATGGGGGCTGGGGGAGAAAGACACCTGCCAGCTCACCTTGCCCACGGCACTGGTCCAGGCCTCTAGACTGTCAGCTCCATCCGTGCCAAAATGCTGGATCCTTCCACCAGTGAGAATGAGCTCAAAGGAAAAGGGAAGCCTGGAGGGAAGACAAGGTCAGGGGGCAGGGTGTGAGGCCTGCAGCCGGGAAGAGCAGGAGGTGCAGTGCAGCGCGCACAGGGTGGCCGTTACCTGTCCAGGTCACCTGGATCCGTGGGTGGGGGACTCACGCCCAGACACACGACATCTTGGGGCTGGATCGAGCTGAGGGGTTCAGGGCTACTTTCCGATGCAAACATTTCCAGAGCTGCTCCAAGCACACACCACAGGCGGGGGGGAGCTGAAGGGGACAAAGAGGGTGACTAGGCAGAAGACTCCACCTCTGCTGCCATAAAGACTGTTTGTTACCAGATATTCTATGCCAAGCCTCCTGCCTAGGTATGATTCTCACCCTGCCCAACCCATATCATCTTTATAAGAACTCCAGGTAGTAGATATTCTATTCAGACCCATTTTGTAGATTGGGAAACTGTGTCTTGGGTTTCGAGCACCCTGGCCAAGTCATGGAGGTAGGAAATGGCAACACTGCGGTTTGGCTGGAACATTCTGGCTCCAGAGCAGAGGCTCTCAATTATCACCCGGGCACAGCTCCTTCTTGCCCCCAGGGCATGACTCCATTTTCCCACCCCAGCCCATCTGTGCTACACTCACATCCACCTGCTGTCCCCATCCCCTCCCATCCCTCAATTGCCCCTCACCATCCCGGCCCCTGCGAGGCGGAGGGGGTCCAGCTTTGTTGCTGATGGGACCACAATACAGGAAGCTGCTGTAAGTGGCGGGCACCACCACCTCATTATACACACCAGGGGAGGGGTCTGCAAGGGGAAGAAGCAATGAGGTCAGCCCAGTGCTAGGTGATAGTCTCACCCACTTTGGACAGATGGAAGAAGTCTCTTGGACAATTCTACTGGCAGCAGTAGCCCCATGGGAATGGAAGAGCGGGAACAGAATAGAGGGTAGCAGTAGTGTAAGGGAACAAGGAGGTCTCTGCCTCTGCTCACCAGCCAGCCCCACAGACAGCTCCGGGTGCAGACCCCAGAGCGCAGGCCATCCCGAGAGTGCCCAGCCCCTCTGCCCTGGCCAACAAAGACCAGCATGCATAGCGATGCCGACCGTTTCTTTGAGAACCCTGGCCCATGGGTTGACCCTGCTGAGATGGCCCAGCATAAGCTCCTGGGACAGCCAGACCCAACCTAGGTCATGAACCCCATCAGTCACCCCAAAACCTCAGGAAACAAGGACTGAAGCTCTGCAGGCCACTGTGTGGTGAAGATCCCCCAATTCCCCGGAAAATCCATGCCACAGTGTGGGCTGAGAATTCCTAGAAGAAAGAAGCCCTTAGAAGGATGACCTGGGGGCAGGAGGCCAGGGAAGCTGCCATCGAAGGCTGAAGGGGACCAGGGCTCCTCGCCCTCAACAGACTCAGCACAGAGGAGTTGGGTCATATTTTTCAGCAGGTTGGGTCCGGCTACAGCTGCACACAGAGCCTGTGGGAAGGGAAGGGCTCGGTCAGCCCAAGCCAACCCATGAGAACTTTAAGAAAAGACCCTCCCAGTCAGGACCAACAGCCTCCCCACTCCAAGTCCAGGCATACCCCAAACATAAGAGGCTATGCCCTCCCCAACACCCTTCAGGCCCCAACCTGGCCCTCGGACCTGGAGAAGCTGGCTGTGATCAGGATACTGAGGGTGGGGCTTCCGGAAGAGACCCAGCCGGTACTTCCGGGAGATAAACTCCCCCCGGGAGCCAGGGGTGGAATCTGGGTGCAGCCTCTCACCGGGGGGTAGTGCCCCTGCCCAGAAGCGGTTAGCACGATCGTTGCCCAGGGTGATGAACAACTGCGAAGATGATAAAGAGCAAAGGCAAGTGACAGGAGTTCAGGAGTCCCAGTGCTGTCTCTACGCTGGGCCCCAAGCCTTTTGCAAAGGTGACCCTTCCCCTTCTTCCCCACCTCGTTCTCCAGACCTGTACTATTTCATTACTCCACACGCTTGTGTCCAGCTTGAGGCTCTGCACCTTGGAGATCCCAGACCCCAAGGCCCGATGCTGACCTGTCAAAGTGTTAAGAGGCACGTGGCGCAGGCACCCTGAGCCTGCCTGCCCCAAGGAAGCCCCTGTCCATGTCCCGCTCTGGGCTCACCTGCGCACTGCTTGCAGATGACCACGCCCAGGTTGACGGCAGCCCAGTCCGGGCGGGAGGCCCCACAGTCCGCACAGTGCCGGTTTGCCCGATTGGACCAGATCTTCTCAGCCACCTCGTAGTCAGACAGGGTCTCGGTTACTGCTTCCTGCAGAGCGGCCGCCCAGCTCTGCCGAGCCCCCCCAGACTCGGCTGTGAAGCTGAGGGGTGGACAGCCAGTCTGTGGGCATGGACATGCCCGCTTCCCCTAAAGTCCCAACCCGTTGGCCATTCCTGCAGGAGCCACCACAGGTCACATCTGGACCAGCCCAGGCCCTTTGGACATCATGGGTCTTGCTCACTGGCCTTGTGTACCCATCTGTATCCACTGACATCCCACTATGGAGGCCCCGTGTCCTCTGTACCCTGAGTCTCCCTCTAACGTGCTCCAGCCTGGCGTCCCCCAGCCTGGTCCCCACCTGAAGCAACGATGGGGTGTGAGCAGATCAAAGCCTCGACTCTTGGTCTCCCGGACGCTGCAGCCTTGTAGTTCGATGAAGCAGATGCCGATGCCCAGAGAGAAGGCCTGATGGGACGGGGCAGTCATTGTGGGAGGGGCCAGGATGCACAGGCCAGCTCTGCAGTCCTGACCCAGCTCTCCTCACCTGTTCACTCTTGTACAACGCCAGTTCTCCAGGGCTCAAGGCTGCAAACACCTTGGCCTTGTGCCCACGCAGCTCCAGCATGCCTGTGCGCAGGGGGCGTGGTGGCTGCGGGGGCCGGGGCTGGCCCTGGAGCCGCTGCTCCTTCAGGCAGGACTGCAGCGTGGAGCACCACATGTCCCGCTGAGCTGGTGGGGCACAGGACAGAGGGTTAGGCAGGGTCGTGAGCTCACACAGGCTCCCTCCCTCTAACCCTGATCTGGCAGACCCCCTCAAGCCTCACCTTCGCTCTCTGTGCGGAACACAAACACCCTCTGACCGGTGACGACCTGGAACTTGTTGTCCTTGCTGCTGCGGGTCATCTCAATGGCAGTCAGAGGGATAACACCCTTGGGGAAGGGGTCCTGGGGAGAGAGACAGTGACATATCGCAGGGAAAGGATCTGAGCCACAGGTAGGGACCAACCTTTCTGCCATACCTGCTTTCATGCAATCAGCACTGGGTGTCCAGACCTGGGCATAGCCACTTGAGCGGCTACCTTAAACGTTGGCATCAATCATGCAGTGACCAGCCCCACCAAAGCTTTTTTCTTCCCAGTCCCAGCTCTCCCCCCACCTTCTCCCCAGTCTCTGCGAGGCACGTCCTGGTCCCCCACCTTGTCACTGCCAAAGTACATCAGACTCCTCCCGTTGAACTGTACAAAGCGTCTCTGGAAGACATAGTTTCTGGGGAAGGAAGAAACCAAGATGAGGGAGTGTTTGGGGTTGGATGGAGCCAGCACACCTGAACCCATTACCACTTCCCAGCCTCCCAACACCCCTTCCCTCCCCAGGAACCACACCCCTGAGGGGAGAGCTTGTCCAGCCAGGCGCTGAGCAGGGGCATGGGCCGGTCTGCCGTGGAAGAGAAGCTGGCGTAAGGTGAAATGAGTTCATCGCTGGTTTCCTCCAAGTCCAGGGTGGGCAGAGACAGGCTGCAGTCACCAGGCAGCTCCAGGCTGGCATAGCCAGCATCCTCCCGGGCCTCCAGATCCTGCCTGCTAAGCCTTGGGGGTTGTGGGGGAGGGTAAGACAGGGAGGGACACACATCAGACCCAAGACCCTGGGCGTCCTCTTTGTAGTTTCTCCTCCGACCCGCAGCACCTAGTACAATGCCTGACAGGGACCAGGTGTGCTTTTCCATCAGCGGAATAGAGAGATTGGGAAGCCAAATGATTTGCATCGAGTTTTCATGCTGATCGTAGTTGGGAGCCTTTTAATTAGCATCTTTAATTAGCATCTTTAATTAGCATCTTTTAATTAGCATCTCTTATATCTTTCCCCCAAACAAAACACTTACGTCATTTATCTGAAAGGCAGAATTACAGAAAGAGAGGAGGAGAGATAGGTCTTCTGTCTGCTGGTTCACTCCTCAGTGACAGCTCAGGCGCATTTGCAAGGAGCTGAATGGGAAGTGGAGCAGCAGGATTCAAAGAGACACCCACATGCTGGTGTTGCAGGTGGCAGCTCAACCTACTAAGCCACAACACTGGGCATCATGATTGGGATTTTCAAAGGGAAACTTTCAGTCTTTCTCCTTCCTCTGCTATGACCATCACTAGTGTGGGAAAGTTGAGAGAAGGCTGCATGGATGGCTCCCTGCCATGACTACCCATAGCTAATCAATACATCTTATTGGCTCCTTCTCCAGGAAGCTCTTGACCCTCTCTCCCAGGACCAAGTTCCCAGGAGCTCTCACTGGGACTATGGGAGCTGCCCAGCTGGCCACCTGCTTCCCCTCATGCCATCCCTCCTACAATCACTCTCCTGCAGCCACCGGAGAGTTCCTCCAAGAATGCAAATGAGGGCCCAGCGGCATGGCCTAGGGGCTAAAGTCCTCGCCTTGAACGCGCCAGGATCCCATATGGGCTCCGGTTCTAATCCTGGCAGCTCCACTTCCCATCCAGTTCCCATCCAGCTCCCTGCTTGTGGCCAGGGAACGCAGTGAGAACGACCCCAATGCTTTGGGATCCTGCACCCGTGTGGGAGACCTGGAACAAGTTCCTGGCTTCGGATCAGCACAGTACCGGCCGTTGCACTCACTTGGGGAGTGAATCATCGGACGGAAGATCTTCCTCTCTATCTCTCCTCCTCCCTGTATATCTGACTTTGTAATAAAAAGTAAATAGATCTTTAAAAAAAAAAAGAATGCAAATGAAATCACTTCACCTTCCAGTATGAAAGCCTTCAACAATGCCCCACTTGCACTTAGGCTAAGCCCAAATTGCTCACCCCAGTGAGCTGTAAGAACTTGTGGTCCAGTTGCTTGCACATCGGCTACTCCCCCCGTCTCTGCCTCTATCTCACTCACTTTAGCTTCCATCATCACAACCATATCCTCTTTCTTTTCTCAGGGTCTTTGCATATACCATGCCCTCAACCCAGACATGCTTCCTTCCATGCTTGCTCACCCTCCAGGTCACTTGCTCAGAGAGCTTCTTAACCACCATGGGTCCTCCTTCCTTCATTTTACAATTTTTTTTTTTTTTTTTTTTTGCCTTCATTTAAAGATTTATTTTTATTATTTTTTTATTGGAAAGGCGGATATACAGAGAGGAGATACAGAGAGGAAGATCTTCCGTCCGATGATTCACTCCCCAAGTGAGCGCAACGGGTCGATGCTATGCCGATCCGAAGCCAGGAGCCTCTTCCGGGTCTCCCACATGGGTGCAGGGTCCCAAAGCCTTGGGCCGTCCTCGACTGCTTTCCCAGGCCACAGGCAGGGAGCTGGAAGGGAAGCGGGGCTGCCGGGATTAGAACCGGCGCCCATATGGGATCCCGGGCGTGCAAGGCGAGGACTTAACCACTTGCGCCACCGCGCCGGGCCCATTTTACAATTTTTTTTAAGCTCAACAGCACAGAATCACTTGGCAAATTTTAAAAACATCACCAGGACCTGGGATCCAAATCAAACAGTGAAATTTAGGAGCGAGTGGGGCCCAGGCACCTGTAGTTTCCAAAGTTCCCGGGGTTGTTGGGACAGCTGAAGTCGAAAATCACATTCGACGCTGTTTGTTTCCTACTTCCTCGAGAAATTGCAGCAATCAGATGAGCACCCCCGCAGACTCTCAGCGCCACATCTGCCCAATTCCACGCAACACTCCGCCTGCCTTCAGCTACTACAATAAACACCTCTGACTAAAGCAGACCCTCCTCTGTGCATTTGATCTCATTCCTCTCACCTACACAAAAACATCACTCCATACTTTCTTCTCCATCCCTCCCCTACGTAGCTAACTGCCTCTCAGTACCAGATGATTCCTACTCACAAACACAGGTCACATTGCCTCCTGCGGAAGCAGCCTTTCCCTGTCTCCAGGTCTGCTATGCACAACCACGACAATGCTCAGCTTTTTGCTGGAAACTCTGCAAACACCTACTCTGTGGCTGCAATCATCTAAAGTCTTTTAAAAAAAAAAAAAAACCTAATCTGTATGCTTTGAATTCTCCTTCTATTCATCCTCTTTTTAAAACTAATTTCTTGGGGACTGGCACAGTAGCCTAGTGGCTAAAGTCCTCGCCTTGCATGCACTGGGATCCCATATGGGCACCAGTTTGTATCCTGGCTGCTCCACTTCCCTTCCAGCTCCTTGCTTGTGGCCTGGGAAAGCTGCTGAAGATGGTGGAAAGCCTGGGGACCCTTCACCTGCAGGGAGACCTGGAAGAGGCTCCTGGCTCCTGGCTTTGGACCAGCTCAGCTCTAGCTATTGCAGCCACTTGGGGTGTCAATCAGTGGATGGAGGATGTTTCTCTCTGTTTCTCCTTTATTCTGTAAATACTACTTTCCAGTAAAAAATAATCAAATCTTAAAAAACACACACACACACACACACACACAACTAATTTCTTCTCTCAAGAGACAGAGCTCCTATCTGCTGGTTCCCTCCTTAAATGCCTGCACTGGCAGGCGCTGGGCCAGGCCTAGGCCAGGAGCCAGGACCTCAGTCCAGGTTTCCCACAAGGCTGGCAAGAACCCAACTGACTTGAACCATCCTCAATGCCATCAACAGGGAGCAACGCAGGGACTGACTCAGGTCCTCCACTGTGGGAAGCAGATGCCCGCCCCTCTTCTTTCCACAACCCTCTCTGCCCAGGCCTTCCCTGCCCATACACCCTGAGGCTGTACTTGTTCAGGTCTCCAGCAACAGACTTCTCAGCAGTGACTACTGCTCTCCACTGCTTTTTTTTCTCCCTCATCCCAAGCTGATGTGAGAGTCTGCCTTCAGAAACAAGCCCTTCTCATCATTTCTTCCACCATTCCCACACTCCGAGATCTCTCCCCGCACAGGCCTGTGCACTTCTGCCCCTAACCTCATCCCAACACAGCCACTGGCAGGGATCCTTCATAAACTGAAGTTCAAACCTTCCTTGACTTCCGTGTCACAAGCCAACACTCTACTAGGTTCCACCTCGCAGGGACACTTTCACTACTCCTAGTGACACCCTCCCTTTACTGGTCCATGTCTCCCAGCTCTGCCAGGGCTGCTCACAACTTGGATGCGGCCCCTGGTGGAAACCCACATCCTGGCCACTCCCGAGCCCATGACGTTCTTTCCTCAGGTGTCCTCCCAGCTCACACTCTCATCATGTTTAAGCCTTTCACTCAAAAGTCTCTTCCTTAATGCTTTGATAACTCTTAAAGAAAAACTTCTGTTCCTGCCACCTATCATTCCCCCATTCACCCTCCCACCCTGCCCTAGTTTTGTCCCATGGCACTTAACACTTTTTAAGAAAGCACATAACTGACTGTGCTTATGCATTCACACTCCCCACCAGGACATGGGTTTCCGTGTACACTCACTCATCCCAAACATCTACTTCTGGCATGTGACAGTTGCTCAGTAAGTATGTATTGAAAGAATAAAAAGCCAGTTTTATCTCATGTTTTATCTCATGGGTCCATGTTTGTCTATTCTATCACCCGTCTTCTGGACTGAGCCTCAACCTGCTACTCAACAGTGGCACTGGGTCAGTTTCAGCCAACTTGTATCCAGGGTGCAGCACGGGCACACACTGCACGGGGTACATTATACCCCTAATGTATAATGAGTTCACTGCATGCACAGCTCAGCCACTCCTTGAGTGCAACTCTTCCTCCCACAGAGCCCACAGAGGACTCACCTGTGTTCAGCCTGGTCCTGACAGGTGCCTCTACCCACTCTTCTGTCAGAGGCCCCTGGGACCCCAACAGACTGGACGCCATAGTACAGGCAGCCAGGATCCATGATGTGCACTGGCAGGGGGCAGAGGGTGAGGCAGAAGAAAAAGATCAGATAGAACTTGACAGAGCGTACCCCGCCGCAGACCCATGAGAAATCAAAATCACCTACCTGTTCCTGTTGTGGGTCTCAGGGCAGGAGTGGGGGCAGCTTTCTGGGTGCTGTCTGGGGTGCTAAGGGACATGTCTATTGGTTAGTATGCAAGAGAGAGGGGGAAGGACAAGCCTTCACACACTGTTCCCCCACCCCAGCCCTTCCCTCCACCAAACACCAGATCCCTAGGAACCAACCCCACTCACACTTCCTGAGCTGCATGCGCCCCGCCTCTTAGGTCCAGGCCAAAGTAGATGGCATTGGGCATCATCTCCACCGTATCTGGCAGTGAAAGCTGCCCAGAGGAGGAGCTGGGGAGCGGAGGAGACTTTGGGCTGGATTCTGGGCTCCTGGAGGCTTCTGATCCTCGAAACGTTGGGCTCAGTCCAGGTCTCTGGGTGGTGGCAGGGCCAGTGAGCCCAGTAAACACAGTCCTGGGCTTGGGCACAGGCTTGGGAGTCTGGGCCGGAGGGTCTAGGCCAGAAGAAGGCTCCATGGTGCTATCTGATTTGGGATCCAGAGAACACTCCACTGTGCCAGCCTGCAGCAGGCGCAGAATACGTTTCCGGTGCCCTGTGGCGTGGATGCCCAACTGCCTCAGCTGCTCGTGGCCCAGGCCTCGGGCTGCACCTGCCGTAGCCAGGCCATGCTGCCGGAACGTGTCTGCATACTGCTCCAGGTGCACCGTGGCCAGCCACACAGCGATGTCCAGGTCCTGAGGGGCAGCCATGGGGGCTCAGGCCATTGCTGGGGGGAGGGGCAGGGGGAAGGGAGGGCTCAGGTGGAGATCCCCCCTCCCTGCCCCACAATCTAAGGCCTGGACAGGGAGTACCGACCTCCAGTCTTCTGTCAAAGGCAGCCTGTAATCTGGAACGCTGGGGGGGGGGGGATGTGTCCCAGAACAGCAGAAAGGATTTCTTGTTAGTAACTAACAGGAGAATGCCCTCATTTACTGTCAAGGAAGCTGAGGAAGGGTCTTTCCTGGCTTACATCAAGTCGGTGTTACTGTTGACACCAAGTTCCTGCCCATCCTGGGATAGGGCACTACAGAGATGAGGAGAGGGGAAGGGGGTGTGGCCAGGTGTCATAGTGGCACAGGAATCGAATGAGAGAGGTAGCGTGGGCAGGAGAAGGCCATGTGGGCTGACCCCACTGCTGCTGCTTGCCACGGCTGAGGCCCAGCCTGCACATCCTAATCCTGCTGGCTCCCTGTTCCTCCTCCCCTTCCACCTATTGTCTCTGCTCAGACTTCCTTCCTGTCCCTCCAGCCTCCCCCCACCCCAACATCCTGCTTGCCAGGGTCAGGCTGCCCAGACGGCCCTAGAACCAGTCCCAAGGTGTGGGTCCTGGCCTGGGCAGGGGCTGCTTGCAGGACGGGCATTGGTAGGGGACCTAGGAGTTGGTGGATCCCTGGTCCCAGGTTCTCCTCCACCACCAGCCCACACAGCCTGCTGGCCCCTCACTCTGCACTCCCTGGGTCCTCCCACACCGTGGGGTTCGGTCTGCCCCACCCCATTCCCCTGAATTTCACCTTGGTCCTGCTCCTGTCCCTACCCCACTCCCTTTCCAGGTCTCTCCCTAAAATCTTGGCCGCCCTCTGCTCTTTCCCTCTGGATTACTCTATCATGGAGGCCGTCCTTGCCTAGGTCTCCAATTCTAACCACGATGTGTGTGTGTGTGTGTGTGTGTGTGTGTGTGTGTGGTCACCTTTGACCCCGGGTTTCTGTCCGGAGAGCTCTCTCCCTCTTGGCCCCAGCATCAGCTCTGCTCTTTTGCTGGCCGGTCCCATGTCCACACCAGGCTCGCTGGGGTGCAGAGCCTGGGCCCTGACTCAGGGTCCCCACTCGCTGGCGACTCAGGCGCAGCTCGAGAGCACAGGATTGGGAGCCCCGAAGGGCTCGCTCTGTGGACTGGTGCAACAGGGTCCGGTGGGCAAGCCGGGCAGCCGTCTGGCCGGGAAGCCATCCGGCCTGCACCAGGGGAGGGGAGAGGGGGTGGGGGCAGAGGCCGGGCCGCAGCCGGGAGGGGCGGGTCGCGCGTGGAGGGGAGCTAGGCGGCCGGCGCCGAGGGGCGCGGGGTGCCCACGAGGGCCCTCGAGGAACGGGGCGGGGAGGAGTCCGGGGCGCGGGGGTCCTCACCTCGCTGCGCGGCCGCCGTCCGCTCCGCGCTGCCCGCCGTGCCGTCCGAGGCTGGGGGCCCGGCCGCCGGCCCCGCCTTCCCTCTGCCCTCCCCCGACGGCCCCGCCCCGCCCCGCCCAGCAGCCTCCATGGCCCCGAGGTTGCTCCTTGTGCAAGCACCGGCCTTGGAGTGGTTAGCGCTCCTTACTCAACGGCCCCACTGGTCCCCGGCGCTGCACGTTTGGCCCTCTCCGGAAAGGGATCAGAACGCGTCTTGGGGGAAGGGAGGGTCGAGTCAGCCTTAGGGAAGGGGCACAAAGAGGCAGAGACCGGAGGGAGACGGGGGACAGAGGTGGGAACAGAGAGAGGGAAGCTGCGGAGGCCACGTGTGCATCCCCTGCTGTCCTGTCCAAAGGCGGGAGAAGAGGTAGGAACCTAGATCTCCAGGGCGTTGTCTCCTGCCCCCAGCCCGCTGTATGGCCAATGGCACCTGGTTTAACGCGGGCCAGAAGGGAGATTCAGAAGTCACAAATAGACACAGCCACTCAAACAGTGGGCCCCCTGCATGAAGCCCCCCATCTGGGGGGGGGGGAGGAAGAGGCGCAAGAACCCACAGAGTATCTCCCCTTTGCTGCCCATCCTCCAGAGACCTTGGGTTCTTGCCACTCATTCAAGGCAACATCTTCACCTCCATAAGTGAGGCTTGGGCTGCCTCTTGCGGGATGAAGTGGTGTCCAGCAAGTACAGTGACCCAGTAACCGGGAGCATGAACAGCCTTTATTTTCTTGGGAAAAGTCCTTTCCCCTTATCCAGCAGGCAGCAGGAGGCCTGCGGGGAGATGGGTCCTCTCCCCTCCCCCTCTCCTGCCCCTGCCCAGGCTCAGGCACTTCCCCCACTAGAGCCGGGCCTGAGGGAGGGGGGACGGGGAAGGGGAGGGGAGACCAGGGCCGGCGGCTGTTTTCCTGTTTGTAGGAGAGGAAGTTGGCTGTGAGTCAGCAGACACAGGAACTGTCCGTGGCTAGGGGAAGACCCCTGCCTTGGAGGCCCAAGGAGGGAGTGCCAGGGGAGATGTCACTAAAGGTGTCATCTGCACCCTCCCTTCCGGGAGCCCACCCCACCCACCCCAGGGCCTTTGAGAAAGAAAGTCCTGATCATAATAATTCTAGGGGGCCCGGCGCGGTGGCGCAAGTGGTTAAAGGTCCTCGCCTTGCACGCCAGGGATCCCATATGGGCACCGGTTCTAATCCCGGCAGCCCCGCTTCCCTTCCAGCTCCCTGCCTGTGGCCTGGGAAAGCAGTCTAGGACGGCCCAAAGCTTTGGGAACCTGCACCCGCGTGGGAGACCCGGAAGAGGCTCCTGGCTTCGGATCGGCATAGTATCGGCCCGTTGCGCTCACTTGGGGAGTGAATCATTGGACAGAAGATCTTCCTCTCTGTCTCTCCTCTCTGTATATCCGCCTTTCCAATGAAAAAATAATAAAAATAAATCTTTAAAAAAAATAATAATAATTCTAGTGGTCAGTACTAATGGCAGTCAGTCATGGAGAGCTTACTAGGACCCTGCTCCAGGCCAATGTGGCTTTGCACACATAAGTGAGTCCTCACAGTATCCCTCTAAGATAGGGAATTTTATTGCCTCCACTTGACAGATAAGGAGGACTTGTAAATAACTTGCTCAAGACCCTGCAGCTAAAACACATGGCCAGCTTGGGCCGCAACTACCCAGCTGGAAGGGGAATCCTGTCCTTCATTCCGGAGGGCAGCTAGGATGGCTACCACGTGGCCCTTCCCGCCTTGCAATGGTGAGGAAGGGCATGAACCAGGGTCCCTGTTGTTCCTCTCTGCAGTGCAGCAAGGAACCTGCTCTAAGATCACCTCCCAGCCACCAACAGAGCTCAGACAGAGGTCCTGGGTTCTGACCCAAGCCTGGAACATGGGGGACTCACCCAACAACTAGCTTGGCTTGCAGAATTTTCCAGGGATCTTATTGAAGTCTCCATCAGCTGCTCTCTCCCAACCTTCCTTCCCTCCCTCTCTTTGAAGTTCTCCCAGCTGCACATTTCCCCCTTCCCCTCTCAGAAGCAAGACCCCCTCATCAAAATGTTGTACAATGGTCCTGCCCTGGAAGCTGTGTCTTAGAGGACTCAGACTAACCCTGCAAAACAAAGAGAGCAAAAGGGCACAGGCTGCTTCCCAGGATGGAGAGGAGGGACCTGGGTGCAGGCTATGCCATGTCCCTTTGGCCACCTGCTAAAGGGTGTGGACCTATCTCAGAGTTATGTTTTCAAAAGCATAACATAGCAGCCGACATTTATGGTGCAATAGGTAAAGCCACAACTTAGATGCTGGTATCCCATATGGGAGTGCTGGTTGTTGAGGCTCTGGTATTCGTCTCCTGATCCACCTTTCTTCTAATGTGCCTAGGAAGAAAGGAGAATATGTCTCAAGTGCCTGGGCCCCTTCAACCCATGTGGGAAACTTAGATGGAACTCCTGGCTCTGGCCTCCCAGACTTGGTTTTTCAACCCTTTTGGAGAGTGACCCAGCAGATGGAAGATTCTCTCTGTGTTGCTTCATCTTTCAAATAAATAAATATTTTTTAAAATATAAAGGACTACAAAGGAAATCATTTACATTGTGATACAGTTATAAACCTACTTCAGTGTGATACAGTGTGGATAAGCTGTTTTGTTAATACTCTAAACGAGATTTAATGGTAGGTTGGAACCTCCCGCCATTTTGAAGCAGTGGTGAGCATAAAAAAAGATTTCAAAAGATCTGAAATACTGTAACAACATAAAAACGAACTCCTGTGTGAGTTCCACAGGTACAGAACTACCATTGTGACTAATGTGACGGATTTGTTGCTACTGTCATAATTGAAAGAAATGATAAATTTTGGCTAGAGATTAATGAAAGTAATAAAATGTGTCCCCCTCTAAGTTCACTGACTCCAAGTCAAGGGCACCAGGGCTTTGACTGAGGAACAGAGCAGAGCCGGAGAGGGAGACCCAGGGGCCTCCCTCCCTCAATCCCTACTTCCCTTCTTCAGTTCGATGACAAGGTGTGGGAAGAAGTTTCTGGTCTCAAGGTGCTATCTTTCTTCTTTCTTTATCCCTAGATTTCTATCACACATTGAATAAGATTTGGCTAATGTAAAGTTTATTTATTTGTTAAATATTTATTTACTTGAAAGAGTTAGAGAGAGGAAGAACTCTTCCATCCGGTGATTCACTTCCCAAATAGCCACAACAGCCAGGAGTGAAGTCAGAAGCTTCTTTGAGTGGGTGCAGGGACCTAAGCACTTGGACCATCCTACACTCGTTTCCCGAGCTCAGTGGCATGGTGCTGGACTGAAGTGGAGCAGTCGGGACTCAAACCAGCACCCATGTGGGACACTGACATTGCAGGCTACAGCTCTTGCTGCTACAATGCCCAGCCCCTTACATAGACTTTAAACCTCGAAGTCTTCATCCTCTGCCTCTCCCTGTCCTTCCCTGTGGGCCTTTCTGCTGTGCTGCATCTGTCTCTGGGCCCATACTGTGCCACTGAGAGGACAGAGCAGACCCAGGGCATCCTTATAGTCTGGGCATAGAAGTAATGCCCATGAACTCTCCAGCAGCTCCCTGTGTATCTCTCTTTGCTCCTGCCCAAACAGTATACAGTCACTGAGGAGGCAGTTTTAGCCAAAGAGAACCACACGGAAGCATTCAG